GGCCATATTGCAAGAAGAACGGACTCGCTGCGACTACTAATAGTCGAAGGAAGACGGTCGCGCGGAAGATCACCCAAAAGATGGATAGATCAAACCAAGGATCTTATCGGCCATGGCCTTCATGAATCATGGCTCAGAATAGAACGGAATGGCACAATACCTTAAGCACTGCTTAAGTTCCGTAGTGGTCCGCAGGAGCAACTTGCCCCGCCAATGATTTTTCGAAAGCAATCTTGTTATTGTCTACTCTCTGGAGACATTTAGGCACTTTTTGCTGCGTATGCTGTCAGTGCTAAACGAGCCTACTAGATGAAGGGGCAGTAAAACTGGATATTGCTAGACTATTTGAATTTTCGCAAAAACGTAACCTGTTAATTAGTTCATCTACTTTACTTTAAGTTATGGTAAGAAACGTTGCGGTAAGACGTACCTTTGGGTTTTTTCATGGAAGAAATCCAACTTCTCTTTTTATTGTTTGGGAATGAGAAACTTTTCACTTTTGGTCACACAGCGAGTGTTTACCGTAATTATACCAAAAAAAGTAACACACGAATTACAAAACGTTGCAATTATTGCATACACACACAGTGTCCGGTTTAAATATTCAGGTATTACCTCGCACGTATAAACGAATACGTAAATAACATAACATGTGTTCTTCTAATTTGCCATTTTTTCGTTATCACAATAATAAAAAATATCTGAACCAAAACATATAACCTTAAAAGCGATCGGCATTCTAAAATTCTTTTACGTTTCACAAACAGCTGGGCAAGGCTACTATGATCGTTCGCCCATTACCCACGTCCGTCGAGGTTGTTTTTCGTTTGGTCACAGACCAGCACGTATGCATAACCGACATTTGTATTGAGCTTGCAAAAATCGAAGCTTGTGATTTACGTGTGGTATTTATCTGTTCCGATTAAAAGGTCGGCAATCGTGGCGCACAGCGCCGCGTTTAACCGAAACGTTAAAAAGGACAAATTATTTAAACGCGCACGTAGGTTTTACGGCGTGTATTTCGCGTTTAATCGTTGCTGCGTGACGCGTTTTATTTTTAGCGAAATGTCCCCAAAATTTTCGCCGACTTGAATCACCTCCGTCCGCTATCGACAAGCGCCCACGCGAGAACCGTTTGAAAATAAATCGGACCATACGTTCGTCATTATTTGTCACGTCCGATGACAGACTGTCAGCGACGCGAGTGTTTGTTACTTGGCCTCTTATTCTTAATCACGATAGAATATAAAACGGAGAGAAAGTAGACGTGTTTCTATTGAACACGCAGTTAATTTTATTACCTGAACGTTGTTTCGAAAGGAATGTCAATGTCTTCTCACTTCCTCTTCTTTTTTTACGGAAAACATCTTAGAATCGGAAAGTTACAGATCCTGTAAAATTTAATTGGCCGAACTTTCGTCAGCTACATATTTAAATTTTTTCTTAGTTTTTGAGATATTCGATGTATCATACTGCTTTTTTTTTAAGATTTAATATTCCAAACATACGAATAAAACCTATTGCAAACAATACAGGGTGTCCATTAATACGTGGAAATTAAAAGAAAAAATCGACTCTATACTACACACTTTAACAGATTAAAACATTTAATAGTTAACTATCTAGCTTGATTGAAAATACCTAATAACAAAAATAAATAATGAAAGTTTATAGGTTAACCAAAAAACTATAACTTATTTAAAATATATACTAACAAAAAACTTGACAAGTCTAAACTTTTGAAATAGAAATATGAAAAAAACAAAAAGAAACAGAAATATCAAAGTTTGTTCATACCTTAATGCTTAAAAAAAAGATTGTGATGTCTTAGCTAACTACATTTTTGAATATTTTGATATTTCTTTGTTGTTTTGATTCCAGATGAAACTTTAATGGACAGAATCCTTTTTAATTGACTTTTTTTATAGATTTATTTATTCAAATTTGCTACCTTGGTTAGTTAACCTATAAACTTTAATGATTTACTTTTGTTACTAGGTATTTTCAATCAAGGTAGATAATTAACCGTATGAATTAAACCTCGAATATCTCAAAAGCAGTAAAATTTAAATATAAGATAAATTACAAACTTGGCTTCTTTTCAACACAATTTCATATGGGGCAATCGAAATATGAAAAAAGAAACACGTAACCTCAATTTATCTTCAGGAGAGTGAAAGAGACATTTGTACGAATCTTTTTTTTTTCGTATCTCCTATGAGTTTCCACATCGTATAGTGGATCGTTTTATTTGGACACGGTGTACATGGAACATAATTTAATTAATCATAGTAACCAAACTTCTTCTTTTCTTCTTTTACTCAAGTGAATTTTAAACTTTGAAACTTTCCTTATTATAAAGTTATCTGCAAAATAGATTCTTGTGATTGTTTATACAGGGTGTTTCCAAAAGCACGGCGTCAACGCCCGGCTGCAGATTTATTTTGAAAAAAAAATCATATATACACGTGTGAAAGGGTTAATTTTCCTTATACTAGATTCAATTATTAAGTCCGGTGTCGTCCCGGAGAGTGTATTAACTGCTATTTTTACAATTTATGTTATTTACTTTGAATAAGCTAACAAAAGGTATTGTTGGTCACCTACTTCACACATTGTATGAGGTGTTATTTTTGTTTTTTCTTTTTTTAATCATTTTTAAAACAAAATGAAGGAAGAAGAACAGAAATTAACATCGATAAATGAAAGACAGAACATATCTCCGATTAATAATGTCAAAGCAAATTGTACCGACAATTAGCAACAACTAATCATACACCATTTTATAGCCTGTTATTGGTAATCAACGATACATTCTGTCTAGTGCTGTCCGTTTAATCATAAGCCCTTGCTTGTGAACATCGTGACCTTTCTTACATTGACTTTCATCCTCCTTTTTGTCAATATTGAGGTCGAGATTAGTATTCCGAATGACTGTACATTGCTTTGGCAAATAAAACATTTATTATTATTAAATAACTTATTGCACAGTCGGAAACGTCTTTCTGCGAAACGGGACATCTCGAACACGCTAACAAAGGACCATTTTTTATGGTCTGCCGACGCCAAGCCCCAAATATTTAAATATAATAATTTACGACTTTGCAAAAGCAGATGAAATATAGAAGCGCGTCTTTGATATTGTATCTGCGCCGGTAATTTACGATTGGGGCATAAAACGATGGCGTTTTGCGGTACTAAAATTTTTTCACGGTTGGTGCTGACCCGTCTGCCATTTTGTAAGTTTGCAGTTTGGTGGACCGGGGACCATAGATACTAAATCGGTCTGTTGGTGCAGCTATAGTTCTTTGTAGTTCATCCGTTGATGCCAAATATTCAAATATCATTTCTTAGATCGATCTTTCCTTTCGTTATTTTCGTAATTTGTGTGCATATTTTTGACCTACAGGGTAATTCATTATATTTTGACACCCACCTACAAGTTTAATTTTGAAAAAAAAAGTGTAAATACAAAAGTTTGAAGATTTTTGCTTCATCATCTTATATAAATGTCGGAAAAAGCAAACGAAGATCGCAGGCTGTCAGAATGACGGCAATATATTTTTTTTAATAATGGGTGTTTTTTTTCCATGTATAGAACTTTAAGTTGGCATTACTGTTCAAGATGGCGACCGATTTAACAGCTGTCAAGTGATTTATTCTCAGTTTGGTTTGGCAATTCATCATGAATAGACTAACGCCTGAACAACGCTTGCAAATGGGCCCAAAACGAGATTGCCGTTGTTCCCGATTTTCATAAGCGAATTTTCTATAGCGATGAAGCGCACTTCTGGTTGAATGGCTACGTCAACAAACAAAATTGCTGCATTTGGAGCGAATCTAATCCTCAAGTGTATGTCGAAACACCGTTACATCCAGAAAAACTGACTGTTCGGTGCGCTTTATGGGCTGATGATGGGTTTTATGGTTATGATGGCCAGAACGTTGCAGTCAATGGTGATCGTATAGAGCTGTGATTACTGACTCTTTCATTCCTGAATTGAATAACCATGATGTCCAGGAGATGTGGTTCAACAAGACGGCGCAACATATCACACAGCTCTTGCCACAATCGATTTATTGAAAGACACGTTTGGTGACCGCCTAGTTTCACGTTTTGGACCTGCGAATTGGCCTCCAGGATCTTGTGATTTAACACCGCTAGACTACTTTCTGTGGCGCTATGTCTATGCGGATAAGCCACAAACGCTTGACCATTCGGAAGACAACATTCGCCGTGTTATTGCCGATATACGGCCACAAATGTTGGAAAAAGTCATCGAAAATTGGACGTCCAGATTTGACTACATCAGCGCCAGAAATCATATTTAAAATGTAATGCCACAAGATTATCTTTCGGATAAATAAAATTCATGTCAATCGAATAATCCATCGTTGTTTTATTGCAACTTAAAGTTCTATACATCTAAAAAAAACACCCCTTATAATGTCCTATATAATATTAGCTTAAATCGTATACCTTCTTTTTTCTGATTTCAAAAACATATAGTGTGTTAACATTTCATTTAGCCGTGTAAAAATAATTATCATTCGATTTCTGGACAATAATCATTATTTTTAAAAACGGTCAAGTCTGTCTAACGAACCAACCCTGATTTGATACATCGAGGATATTTTATCAGATCACGTGGTACCATATGTCGACTACATTGGAGAAGAATTCATTTTTATGCATGACAATGCAACGCCGCACGGATAGTGCAAGATTACATTGCAGAAGTCGGTTTTCGAGTTATGGGAGTGGCCAGCACGCAGTCCCGACCTCAATCCGATCGAGCAAACCTCGATCCCAGAGCTTATTGTTGCAGTAGAGGAAGCGTGGACTAACATTCTACAAGAAACAACCGTAGCGAATAGATGTTATTAAAAAATAATTGTTTTTAGTAATAAGAAAATGTTAATTAAACTTAACTTAAACTCGTATTAAAGCATATTACGGCAGTTTGGCAACGTCGCACTTAAAATTTCCCCCGTTTCAGATAGCGGGATGTCGAATGGGCCGTGCGGATGAGCGCGGGCGGCTCGCCGTCGCCGCCGTCGCCCCCGTCGGCGGCGGCGCTGCGGGCGGCCGCCGCCTCCGGCGACGTCGCCGCCTGTCAGCGTCTCCTGGGCAACGTCAGAGGCGTGCGCTTCTCGAGGGACGAGGCGGGACGCTCCGCCCTCCATCTGGCCGCCGCCGCGGGCCACGCCCCCGTCGTCCGGCTGCTGCTGAGCGTCGCGGCGCCCCGGGAAGCCGACGGACCCGACGCTGACGGCTGCGCCGCCCTCCAGAGGGCGGCGGCTGACGGCCACGAAGACGTCGCGCGTCTCCTGCTGGCCGCCGGCGCCGACGTCGACGCCACCGACGCCGTGGTAAGTGCCCGTGCGATACGGAAAAGAGCGTCCACCGTTGCCGTTTCGTCCGGCAGCATGGCAACACCGCTACGCACGAGGCCGCGTGGAAGGGCTACAGCCGCACGACCAGGCTGTTAGCGGCGTCGGGGGCGGACCTCGCCAAAGTGAACGGGGGCGGTTTCACCGCCCTCCACCTCTGCTGCCAGAACGGTCACAATCAGTCGTGTCGGGAACTCCTGCTGGCCGGCTGCGACCCCGACCTGCAGAACAATTACGGCGATACGGCGCTGCACACGGCCGCGAGGTACGGTCACGCGGGCGTGACCCGCATCTTGATCTCTGCGCAGGCGCGTGTGTCGGAACGCAACAAAAACGGCGACACCGCCCTGCACATCGCGGCCGCGATGGGCCGCCGCAAACTGACCAGGATCCTGCTGGAGGCGGGCTGCGACAGGAGCGTGCGCAACAAGCAGGGCGAGTCGGCCAGAGACATCGCCGTCAGGAAAGGTTTGGCGGAGATCGTCGACATCTTGGACGACTGCGTGAGGAGAGACAAGAAGGCCAAGGGGAGGAAGAGGTCAAAGAGCAAGGTCCGCTTCGTCGCCAAGACGGCCAAAGGTAATCTCGTTAAGGTCTTATCGCCCTTTGTGCTGTGTTTCGCCAGATTTGTTAATACAACTGCCATGTTCTCCGGAGTTGTATCTCTAACCCACTGCACAACGCTTAGGCTTTGATTACCCCAAGAAATGAATTTGGTATTAATACTACTAATTCAACTTTCATTGTCTTGGCCTCATGGCACTTCCTCCTAGACAGAACACTTAGATCAAGCGTAGTGTTTCCAAGTTATCAATGACCATGATTGCCCTAAGAGATGGATGTGATTCGTCGAGCATGGCTTCAATACAATAGTATGCATCTATGTTTTGAAATAGAACACTTAGCTTTGCATCTAGTGACTGCACGTAATCGATAACAGCTCTAAGAGTCGTTTGTCCCAAAAATGATTATTATTTCCCAAGCATGGCTTCTTTACAACGGTCCGAGCTGCACAGGCAACTATGCGTTGAAGTAATTTTCCTTTCCTTTGATATTAATAGTATTAATACAACTCTCACGTTCTTGAATTCATACATGGAGGAAGCTAACCTACATCATCCAGTAGCCTCGCAGTGCTTTCTTGTAGACAAAACACTCAGCTTTACAACAAGCCTGGTGACTCCACGTAATGGATGACAGCGTCAAGAGTCGTCTACTTGATTATCCTATCCACTCTTCTCAGTCATCATTTTGCGCCTAACTAGGTGTTTTATCTATCTATCTATCTATCTATACCAACAAATATGACTTTGTTTCTCATAATATTCACCCCGATGATCAATACACTTTTGCATTTGATAAAACCCCATCGAGTCGGGCACCTCGAAAACATTAGGTGCTAAATCAGGACTATATGGTGGATGGCTCATCAAATCAACGTTTTTAATGCACTGATCGGCGAGAGCTATAGCATTGTCGACGGTTGGTTTTTCTAATTTCTTCGAAGACTTTCGGCAACCAAATGATCGTAAACTATTCAAAATTGACTGTTTTACCTTTCACCAAAAAAAAAAAACAGTTGCAAAGTGGTCAAACTGTCAAACTTCCCTATAAAAACGTTAGCCGCCAGATGGCGGGACTACTTTAAGAAAATCCCGAAATTTAAACGGCGACCGCTACCCAAACGACTAGCGAAACGGTAATTCTGCAGACAAGACGGAGACGCCCCTTCTGGAGAAGACCAAACACTGGTCGCCGTACGGCTGCCACTACTACCCGGACCCGGAAGCGTTCCCGTCGCCCAGACTCGACTCGCTGCCCCAGGAGCCGCTGAAAAAGGGCGAGCAGTACTACCTAGACCTCGCGGGGAACATCTGCAAGGGCCCCGTGAGCGTGGGCTACACGTGCTACTGCGCGCCCCTGTTCCGGCACCTGGAAGCGAAGATCGAGAGGGACAAGAAGGAGCTGATGAGGGCGCAGGTCAGACTCAACCAGCGGGTCGCGGGACTCGAGCAGAAACTCAGCAGAGGAGGGCACGGACGACGCTCGGAGAGAGCGACGGCGTCGCGGGAACCGGAACCCCAATTGCCCAGATCGCGGAGTCTCGAGATGCTCGACAAGCGGGACGAGACGCAGCTACAAAACGCGAGGAGCATGGACGAGCTGGAAGCGGAGGAGCAGAGGCCGTCGGTTAAGGAGCTGGTGGCTAGGATCCAACAGCAGTCGGCGGCCAATAACAGCGAGAGCAGCGACGACGAGGAAGCTCTACGGGTGCCCCAATGCAAGGGCGTCATGGGCGACTCCAACCTGGTCGATTACGAGAACGTGGACGCCGGCGTCCCCAGGAGTAGGAGCGGCCTCTATAGTCCTACGGCGAACGTGGAGGCGGGCGCGCGTTACGTCGAGCCCATCGTCTACGTGTACAACCAGCAGCCGAGCACCAGCAAGTACCGGTACTACCAGAACGAGGCGGCGTCCGGTGCCGCGCGATTTTACGACGGAGGCGTCGGCGCGCGACTCGCCAAATTACGCGTGTTGGACAACAACGTCGAGTCAAAAAACCCGATCGAAGGCTCCTCGAGGATGCTGGACGCGACCCTGATGATCGATAGCGTCGACCGGGACGATTCGGGGTACTCCACCAAAGTGTACGGCAGTTCCAAAGGGAACTCGCCGAGTTTGGACGCGACCGAGGCCTTGGGCGCCTCCAGTTTGGTCTAGCTAATCGGGGAGCTAAGGTGCGCGCGCGGTGTTTCAGTGTACATAGACGGCGAGGACGTCGAATTGTTGAATGATTTGTATATGTATGGAAATCCGAGAATAAAGCTCTATTTTATTAGCGTTCGCCGTTTTTCCACGGTCGCGGGTCCTAATTGGGGCCGGTTTGAATTACTTTTAATAAGTCGATCTTTTGTGAAAATTCGGCTGAAAAGTCGATAACAGAGCAGAGGAAAGGTAAGGTCTGTTCATAGATATAAGAAAGTGACCAATTGCTTTTGAATGGGATTATCCAAGGGTGGTCATTTGCATACGATGCAACAAAATTATTACTTAAAGTTTCGGGATTTCATTTCAGGTAAAAGTGTGGTCCGTAATAGAAAATAATTTTATATCTACCAGTGTTTAATATTCTTTGGTTTGGTATACTACTTAGTTTAAGTTTATTAGTAATCATTTTTATTTGGTGTGTAATGCAGCGTGTGTTGAATCGTGTGCGAATTATGCAAAATATGTGCGAGTCTGGTGTATCTCAGAAGATGCTCCCGCCCAAATGTAGAAAACACTATTCTACTGAGACTAAGGAAGTTATAAACAATGTTTATTTGACTCTCATTGAACGTGGTGCCAGCGAGCAAAAATCTTTAGAAGAAACGGCCACATTGACGAAAATTCCAACATCAACTGTATGGAAAATTGTGAATAATCCCATTTCGGCGAGGAAAAAAAGAAGCGATGCCGTCATTTTCTCGAGTGTAGGTGAAAGTTATCAAGATATAATACGCCGTAAAATTTACCAGCTATACGAGGAACAAAGCGTGCCTACATTAGATAACTTAATTAGGAGTCTTGAAAAAGATGAAACCGGTGTTAAATGTGGCAGAACTACCTTATGGAAGTGTATTCAACACATGGGTTTTAGATTTAAAAAAAATGACAAAAGGCAAGTTTTAATGGAATCTTTTAGAATTCGGAAATGGCGACTGAAATATCTAGAAAAAGTTAGGATTTACAGAGAACAACAAAGGCCAATTATTTACTTGGATGAAACCTGGTTCGGCACTTATGATACCCCGGAAAAGGGTTGGGTTGACTCAAACAAATACGCCACCAAAAAGAGGTAAAAGAATAACTATTTTGCATGCTGCCTCTAAAAATGGTTGGATTCCAAATGGATTTTCTCTGTCTGCGAAAAATATTAAATATTCTTCTCTGGATTACCATGAAGGCACCGCCGCTGATTTATTTGAAAGTTGGTTTAAAAACAAACTAGTCCCAAACATTCCTCCTAATAGCGTCATTGTAATGAACAATGCAAGTTATCACAGTAGACAGTTGACTAAAACCCCTTCCTCATACACAAAAGCAACAATCCAAAACTACATGTATAATAATGATATTTATTTTCACGAAGATTATACCAAAAAGCAATTAATTGAGGTTCTACAAAGCTTGAACCTACAAAAGGCCACTGTTAACTCCAATGTCCTCAAACTTATAGAAACCGAAGTTTTTAACATCCCTCCACAAAGTTACGCAGAAAAGGCAGAACAATCGTATATCCATATTGCAAATAATAATTAGAACCGGCGATGATAGCGATAGTGATACTGATATATTATGTGAATAATTTTAAGTAATTTAAGTAGGTAATAAAAATAATTTGTAATTTTATTTTAGATTTAAACATAAATAAATAAATATTGTTTAGTATATTTCCTAACAAAACCCCAACTAATTAAATTCTAAGCAAAGTACGGTCATATTTCATTCTTACAGCTTGCCCGGGTCTTTACTTAATCAGTTAGTCACTTTGTTATATCTATGAACAGACTTTATTGTACTTCCTCAATGCTCTTGCAGAGGAGGAGGGGAGATCGAAAGGTCTACATCGCTCAATAAGCCTTTGCCTCTATAAGAACTTCCACCACCATCAGATCGTGCATACTAGATTGCGGCTCTGTTAAGGGTTGCCAGTTTGTGGCCATTTCCATATTTCCATTGTTTCTAGATTCCTTGCTGGATTCCACCTCTAGTTGTGTGTTACCCATGTCCCTCAAATCCAACGTTTCAGGGTCTTATCATTTGCCCGGTATGTGGCTGTCCGCATTCAAGAGAAATTTAGAGGATACGGTTTTTCTTTCTTCTTGTAATGTTGTCTCCGACTTGAACACAGTAGTGACTTTAGTTTTTTTTTCCTACACGTATAGGAGCGTCAAGTAAGAGAGAGAGGCTATCTATGTTAGTTATGGGTTTTGGGTTATAGTAGTCTTTTAGAAGAAAACCATCGACACGTAAATGATACTTTTATTATTTGCCCTCCGCCATTTGAACTCTATACACCTTAAAATACCCTCCGATTCTTAAATATTCTTATCAATCAGACCCAACACATTAGTCAAATCGCAATATCTGTCTGTATCCTAACCTAAAACAAAATAGTTCGATTATGGTAGACATCTCCATTATACCGTATATCAGTCGTATCACATTGTGACTCTTCCATACATGTCACTCCGCGTTGTTAGAGAAGAAAATAGAAAAATGTTTTCTTTATTTACGTATGAATTAAAAACGTTTCAATGCTGGAGGGTTATTTTCTAGGAACCTTTAAGGGAACCCAAAACAACCAGCTGGTTTACAGAGTCAACCCAGAATTAAAACACCTTACATCTGTTATTCTCTCTAATAATTTTCACATTAGAGATAGTAAACGTTCCATCACACAATAGACAAAGGCCCGAACACAACCCCACACTTGTCATCGCTGCCTTTCCATTAGCTCAAAACATCACGTATCAAAAGTTTTTAAGAAATATAACGTTATTTACCACTAGAAGAATCTTTACAGCATTCATATGTGGCAAAAATACATTGGGCGAACAAGATCAACTAAGACGAAAAAACATGAAAGAGCCTTAAAACTACGACAAATAAAACTATATACTGGGAGCTAGACGGTTAGCTAGGTCCTTGAACTTATAGAATTCACTGTACCGTCTTGTCTCAATCTTCATCGTGTTGGCTTTCGAAGGGCCCTTCCCAATAAAACTTATAAAACGATCTTATTACCTTGGATAAACTGCATAAGAAGCTAGAAGAAGATGAAAACAAATCTGTTCCACGGGTCAACTTCATCTCGTCAAGCTTCAAAGTTACAGCAAACATCGGTAAATATAAAAATTCGCACAAATAATGCGTGGTCGAATGATATTTTTTCAAATATCTCGCGCCCTGTATAATTGACGATACTATTCAAATAAAATTATCCCATCTTTAACGGTTTTTCATTAATCGCCAACAATTTACCAACAAAAACGGAAATTTTTAGGATATTTTAGATTTTTTGCCCATAAACGACACACCCTGTATACGATACAAACATTGTTCGAAGTAGAGGTTACAGCCCTGGATTTTCCACGCGTCCTGGTACAAGAATTTTTTGAAACTAATAAATGGTTTTCGAGAAAATAAGTTTTTTCTGAAACCACGCAGTGCGCCGTAATAATCAATGACGTCATCGCGTCTTGCCAGCCCCCGAAATAGCGATTTCAATATGGATCTTTTCGAATATCCCGAGCGGCATAGTTTGAACCATATTTTTTACGATTTTTGATTTGTGGCTAATAATTTATTCTGTAAAAGAACAATTTTCTAGGTCTTTTATATACGCCTATAATTTGGAAACCCTGTATATAATCGAAAAAATGGCAGAAATAAATATTATTGCACTGGATCTTCTGCGTCTGCCGGTTAAAGAATTTTTTAATTTAATTTTTAAATGTGGATACGAATTTTTACTTCTCCGCTAAATTTGAAGTTGACATCTGCAAATTTAGGACACTTAACACATTTCTCATTTAGCACGGAATATCGGGAACACCCTGTACAATAGGTGAAAACCTTACGTGCAAAAGTTTTTGCTGTCTATGCGGGCTATATCGCAATATAAAGTGAGATCTGAATCATAGTCTTTCAGTTATTTTCTAATTTTCAATAATGGGGGGGACCCATTTTTCAGTTTTTTTTAATTTGCGGCGCACCCTGTAGATTTTTGAGAAATTGTCAAGAATAAAAGTTCAACGCAGTTTTTAATTTTTTTAAAATATTTCCCGGACCCCCAACCCCCCCAATTTAAATAGGTTCCGTTAGGGGATCAAACGATATTTGCCTATGTGCCCATCTTTAACGGTTTTGCATTTATCGCCAATAATTTACCCGCACACGCAATGCGTATAATTCAAACAATTCCCGAGATAGGGGTAATAGCCCTGGATCTCCCATTTTTCCTGATATATGAATTTTTCCAATAGCGCAAATCAATCAATCGCGTCTAGATTGAGGGCGAGAAATGGTGATTTTCATTCGGATTTTTTTCAAATATCTCGAACAACGTCTTTTAGATTTTTATCTATAATTGAAAAGATGCTTGAAATAGTAAAATAATTTTGGCGATCAAGTTAATAGTTTTCCTGATATTTTGTTTTTTCTGGAGGAAAAAATAACAAAACAAAAATTTTAAAAATTAAAAAAAAAACAGGCAAGTCTAGATTGCTTCCAGTTTCTACGGTATAGATGTGGGTGTGGACTTTCACTTCTCCGCTAAATTTGAAGTCGATAGTTGCAAATTTGAGACATTTATTGCATGTCTGAATATGAAACAGAATATATCGAACGCCCTGTACAATGTATGAAAATCTAAAATAGAAAAGTTTTAGCAGTCCATACGGACTGTATGGTCGGGCGAAAGAAAATGGCAGCTGAAACACAGCCTTCTAGGTAAAGTCAATTATCCATATAAGGGGAACCCAATTTTCAGTTTTTTGCTGACTAGACTCAAAGAACACGAAAGGGCCTTACGACTAAGACAAATAAACTCATCAAAGCGGACATAAAATTTTATTCGACAAAACTAAAATTCTTGCATGTAATCAGTTCATCTACCAACGAAAAATCCGAGGGTCTATAGAAATCTATAAACAACCTAACAATCTTAACCGCGACTCAGATCTCTACCTGTCACCAATATGGGAATCAGTCATCCCCCCCAAACACTAGATAAGCAGGTACAGAGTAAAACATGTGCCACTTTCAGTCAAGCTCCGAAGAAGCCAACAGGATGGTCGGCAAAACGTCAGCAAGTTCGACTCAGCAAAAACGGATGCGGGAGGAGTCCAGAAGTTTTGTAAAAAGTACCTTTTTTTATTTGTAAAATTACAGAAAGTTAATCGCGGGCAAAAGCCAGTACGATGAAGATAGAGACACGAACTATACCTTCGGCGTTGTCCATTACTCACGACACATATCGAACCCGCGACTTAACTTTTCACCGTTGGCTCCGCCCCCTCAGACCGTATACGGGCGGCTATAGAGCGGTCTCGCTCAGTCTCTCGGCCACCGCGTTCGCGTCCGTCGAATCCACAAACAGGTCGTTGAAGTGTCCGTGCAGCCGCACCGGCGACGCCATAAACTGCTGCCACAGGTTCTTCTGGACCGGATTCAGCAGGTAAAAGGTCCGGAAGAGCTCCTTGTACCGGAAGATGACGTCCTGTAACGTGGCTTGGGGGGCCAGTTTTTTCTGGAACTCGTTTACCGACACCAGGAGCAAAGCGCGCGAGCTGGGCGAACCGGTGATCGAGGTGAAACGTTCGTTCAGGACGCTCACCTCCGCGATCTGATAGTCGGTGGGCCGCAAATTCGACGCGGGCCGGTACGAGCACACTTGCACCGTCAAATTGGGCCAGCTGCTTTTCGGTGACGAGCTCTGGATACGGATCGGGCCGAGGTCTTGGGGCGGGGGCCTCGCGGCCCCTTTGGCGCTCAGCAGCGCCTCGTTTATCTGCTCGGGCCAGTAGTCCTCGAATTTCGTGTCGGCTGGGAACAGGGGGTACACGTCTTCGAGATCGACGACTTTCATCGCGGCCACGTTGTAATGGGACGGTCTAATGTCGTGCACTTTGCAGCAGAACCGCAGGTACACCATTTTCCAGCGGTCGGTGAGCAGGACCGACCGGTCCTCGAAGAATTCCGCTTCGCCGTCGAAATAGATGACGGGGACGAGTTTCCTCGAACCGCTCCACACGAACGGCACCGAGTTCTCACCGTTTACGCGCACGAACCCGAACAACTCGTTCGTCTTGTGGTTCTCGAACACCATGCGGTAGCAGACCTTGAGGAGATGGTAGCCAATTGTGTCGAACGTTCAAATGGGCGAAAACCACGAATGCTATAATGTGCATTTGTCCAAATCGTTCGAAACATTATAATATGAAATTCTTAAATCATATTAAGAATATCTCCAAACAATGTTATTATGAAAGATGTTAGGGTTTCACGGCCAGAAACTACATTACTAAATATTTCCGGGCTTTTGAGCCGTGGTCCCGAGATTAAACTCGACGTTTCGTCTACAACTGCGGAAGACATTTTCAAGAGCGGCGATGCGGTAACGGTCAAAGTGTTCTTCCGTACTGCTCTCCGATGACTGGTTTGTCGACTGGAAGATCTGCCGTATTTAAGCGCACTGTAGTGGGCGTGACCTCCTCGGTGGCGGGCTTGGGTTGAACTTGTCTGGGTAAACACGTTGTTTTATTGATGACCTGAGTCCATGTTTTACTGATATTGAGACCTTCTTCTTTTCTATTGAAATTATTCCGATGTTTTTGAATTTCAATAGCTTCTCTGAAAAGACGTGGATAAAAATGTGGTGTTTTGTCCAGTACCTGCGTGTCTTTGAACATGATACGATGGTCACCTTTGTCAAAAGCATGTTCTGCCACTGCTGATTTTTCCGTGTGTCCAAGTCGGCAGTTTCTTTTCCAGCTGACAAGGGGAACGCGACTGTAGTACTAAATACCGTAGACTACGAAAAGAAAATTGGTGATCTGCTAGACCCCAAAACACACAAAAAGTTGCAACAGGACCCAACCAACCGCATCCTAAAGAAAACAAATACGTTAATCAAGAAGTCATCTATCGAACCAGAAATCCAGCGAAAACTAAGCAATTCGGAGGCATTACCACCAAGATTATACGGATTGCCAAAAATCCATAAAGAGGCAGTACCCTTGAGACCCATAGTTAGCGCTATAGGTTCCCCGACTTACCATCTCGCCAAGCATCTAACCAAACTCCTTGAACCACTCATAAGGAGGACAGCATCACACATCAAGGACTCGACGCAGTTTATACAGAAGATCAAAAACATCACATTGTCACCCAAAGACATATTAGTGAGCTTCGATGTTGTTTCTTTGTTCACTATGGTGCCAGTCAAAGAGACTTTGGATTTAATATCTGCACGTTTTCGGAACGATGTCACAGAACTTTTCCGACACTGCTTAACCACCACTTATTTCCAATGGAACAAGGAGTTTTATGAACAAGTTGACGGTGTAGCCATGGGAAGTCCATTAAGCCCGGTCATAGCAAATTTTTTCATGGAAAAGTTTGAACAGCAGGCATTAAATACTGCCCAAAAGAAGCCCAAGTGTTGGTTCCGCTACGTGGACGACACATTTGTAATATGGAGCCACTGCGAAAAGGAGCTTCAAATCTTCTTGGCGCATCTCAATTCCATCAACAATAAAATAAAATTTACCATGGAGACAGAAAAGGACGGCAGGTTGGCATTCTTAGATGTGCAGGTAGAAAGGCGACCAAATGGAAAATTGGGTCATAAAGTTTATCGAAAACCCACTCACACGGAACGTTACCTGAACAAATTATCTAATCACCATCCGAGACAGAAAATGGGGGTAATAAAAACCTTAATGACAAGGGCTAATCGGATTAGCGAACCCAAGTACCTACGTGAAGAGATTAATCACTTGACCGATTCCCTGAAAAATAACGGATATACCACCTCTGAAATACAAAAAGCTATGAAAAATAGAAGATCTAAGACAAGAGATACGACAAAGGAACCTCAAGGGAATGTATCATTTCCTTTTATTAAGAACGTCACAGACAGGATCGGTAAACATTTAGAACGACACAACGTTCGGGTCGTCTTTAAACCAACGACTACAATCAGACAAAGCCTCAGGTCTGCCAAGGATACAAGGGACGCCTTTTCTTCACCAGGGATATACCGCATCCCGTGTTCCTGTGGCTCGGTATATATAGGTACCACAAAGAGAAGCATTGAAACAAGGCTAAAGGAACATAAAAGGAACTGCCGGCTTGGACACACGGAAAAATCAGCAGTGGCAGAACATGCTTTTTACAAAGGTGACCATCGTATCATGTTCAAAGACACGCAGGTACTGGACAAAACACCACATTTTTATCCACGTCTTTTCAGAGAAGCTATTGAAATTCAAAAACATCAGAATAATTTCAATAGAAAAGAAGAAGGTCTCAATATCAGTAAAACATGGACTCAGGTCATCAACAAAACAACGTGTTTACCCAGACAAGCTCAACCCAAGCCCGCCACCGAGGTCACGCCCACTACAGCGCGCTTAAATACGGCAGATCTTCCAGTCAACCAACCAGTCATCGGAGAGCAGTACGGAAGAACACTTCGACCGTTACCACATCGCCGCTCTTGAAAATGTCTACCGCAGTTGTAGACGAAACGTCGAGTTTAATCTCGGGACCACGGCTCAAAAGCCCGGAAATATTTAGTAATGTTATATGAGTTTAAAATTGTTATATTCAAATAGAGATATACGATATAAAACTACAGTTGTGTCAAAGTCTTATCCTCTCTCGCTTGCCTTATTGTAACATTGCGTATGACCTCTGTTTGACCTATATCTCGATCACTTTCATCTACACTCGATAAAATGTCAGCATCGCTTCTTTTTTTCCTCGCTGAAATGGGATTATTCACAACTTTCCATACAGTTGATGTTGGAACTTTCGTCAATCTGGCCGTTTCTCCTAAAGATGCTTGCTTGCTGGCACCACGTTCAATGAGAGCGAAATAAACATTGTTTATAACTTCCTTAGTCTCAATAGAATAGTGTTTTCTACATTTGATGAGATGAGATACACCAGACTCGCACATATTTTGCATAATTCGCACACGATTCGACACACGCTGTATTACACACAATTTTTTCATACTTGTTATCCCGACAACTACTTAGCTAACTTTTACTTTTCGATTCTTGGGTATGCTAGATAATTGGTTAATTTTTTGCGTAATCCAAAGTGTTTTAATTGACAACCATAACTTATTGAATAACTTAAAAAATCATCAATAATTTTAGCTGTGAGAACGATTGGGCACACGTTTTTATTAACCTTTCATGATTCGTGATAATCGCCGTATGCGACTTTCCGAGTAAGAGGTACCTAAATACAATTTTACCATGACCGCCAATGATTTACTTAAAATAATTGAGAACCATTAAACAAACACATTTATTATAGGTTTGACTCTTTGATTAATTAAAATGCAACTGAACCTTTTAACCTGACTCACTGTAAATGTGAACAGATGTGTTTTAAATACATCGTAATGTAAACAAATCGCGATTATTCTCTATCGAGGAACGTTTTTTCACGAACACCACGACACGATTTGGACAAATAAACATTTGAACAATATCTCGTTCAAATGGTCGAAACTTCCGCACGGCGTTCGGATTCAACCTGTGGGTGGTTTGTAACAACGGATCCGCCAGCGGCTCAGACGTGACGTACACGTTATCGAGTGACAGAATGTTCAGGTTAGAACCGGCGATTCTTATAGGGATATCAAATTTGAAACTTATTTTCAATGATTTCAGTTCAATGAATTCAGTTAATTTGTCATAAAAATCAAAAATGTTATTATTATAGGCTTTTACTTGGACAAGGCACTGTACGTCAAATACAAGGAAATGTGGAGGGAAAAAAATATGGCGGAAATACTACGCTTTGGGAATAATTTTTAAAATTTTTAAAGTAATTGTGTATCACCATAAGGACATTTTTACGCGATTAGGAGCCCAAAAATGTGTGTTATAACAAGGCACACTCGCAACTGCCTAGGACAAATTGCACAGAGAATTCAGTCAGCTTATAATAAGTTTTATTCCGATCATCGGGTGTAAACGCTACCTATCTTGTTAAAAAATGAATATTTGTTTTGGACGTTGTCATTCATAAATTTGATTTGAAAAACGTCCACTTTCACCTTAGCCGGTGGCTGTAAATAAAATATAATATATAATAAAAAAATATCCTTTTGAATGCGGTGGTAGTACCCTTCGATAAAATTAGCCTATATTTTTTTGTGCGGATTTAGCACCGGATGTACGTCCTGTATCTTTAAAACAAGCTCCCTTTTGCTAATTCGTATCCGGATTATATTCGGATTGACCGTCTGCTACATCGAGATCCCTCGCGAGACGAAATTCACCGAGACTTTCCCGAGCGGGACCGAACGCCGTTCGGAATTTTTGACAATTGAACATTCCACCATTTGTGGTGTTCCCACCTTGAGGAATGCGTCGAGTGCCTGTACGTCGTCCAGTTCCACCATGCTGTCGGCGGTCGTGTACGGCGTTTTGCTGAACATGCTGTCGCAGTGCTCGACGTTGATTTCGTTGAAGAGCGCAGCCTCGCCGGCCGTCAGATTGAACTTGGGAAATTTCACGCAAGCGGCCACTTCGTTGCTGAAGTGCGCGCCGAATTTTTTGCCGACCGCCTGCTCGACGATATTTATCAGCATGTAGTCCTTGTCGTCGCGCTTGATGAACGGCACTTGCATATCGAACACCTCCCTCCAGCCGAATTTACCGACCGACGAACCGTTGTTGTCATACGCCATTTGCGCGCAGACTACAATCGAAACATCGACTACATACGTTCCACGTTCCACGTCGTTGACGACCATTCGTCGCGGCGCGTGCGACCGCGATTCCGTCTCACTCGCGCCCGCTGAAACAGCGGAAGAGCGACGTCGGAGCTTGGTTCGCGTGGTGGGAACCGCAATGCTGCCAATCGAAGTAGCGAAAATCCCGCACGGCGTTCGGTAACGTAATCTTTGGATCGCAATTTGTTGGTTTGGAAAAAATGGCTTAGAGATTCTGGTGCGATGTATATCGCGATAAATGTATCCGTTTTTTGTTCTAGCCTGAGAGTTGACGGGTTAAGAAAACTCTTCAAAATAAATTGAAAGTCGATCCTATAATCCGAATACGAATCGGCAAAATGTTTCCGCAGACATTAAGGTTAATTTTATTTATTCTAAAACTTTTAACCTGTACCACATTAATTATGGACAACTCTGTATAGAATTTTTCGATTGGGAAACATCTACAGGCTACCGTGATACTGCTGTTTTAGCTCTAAGGAAGGCAATAGGATCATTGGCGAAACTTCCGTAAGAGTAATTTTATAAATAACCGACCCAGAAAGAATCCAGAACATTCGTGTATAGCACTCTGTATAGAATAGATTAGAAGGGGTGTAACATTTCTTAAGTTTCTTCTTTTTTCATAAAAATGTACTTGTACGTCACTCGGAGCTAAAAATTATAAATGTTTAGTGGACAAAGCAAGTTGCAATCATATTTGTAGAAAACAAATATACAGGAACATAAAAATATTGTTACGTTTTGCTTTGTAAAATATATTATAAGATTTGTAAGTTTTGATATTATAATAATGGATTACGTATCATATAATTAACGATTATTAAAAAATCTTAAGTGTTTTTAAGACTATCTGTGAATGTTAAAGAAATCTCTGTATTTTTCTGTAATATTCTATAGATCAATTATAAATGTATAGTTTGAAAAGGAAATAAAACGGGAATTATGAACAAGAGTCTTAAAAGTAAACATTTTTTTTTGATAGAGAGTTTATGAGCTAAAATAAATCTAAATAATTAATGCAGCTGTTTGCAATACCTAAGAAAAAAGATATACAACAAACTTCTGAATTCCTCCTAGCTAACGTTATATAAAAAGTATTATAGTTGCCTGTTGAAGTTTTTTTGAAAAAAAAATTACTTGTATCATAGTTTCGACTGGGGCAGAAATCAAACGACTTATGGATTTGAATTAACGATAATTTATTCTCACACCCCATTGTCCAAACAGGTTCTGCCAATTTTTACATTAACCGTGTCTCTACGTTTCCAAGCTATCATCACCTAACTCTTGAATGTTTTCGTTACATACGCACTTATAACAAATGAACACTCTCATTATCTATCGGCCTCTGGACGAATTAGCCGACTAAATTAAAGTAACAAGGTGATAGTGTCCATACGCTTGAAATGTTATTTTATGTTTTTTGATATTGCACCTACTTCATTTGAATAGTAAATTATTTATATTCGGTTTCGTGTTTAATTACGCTCCCGGTTTTAACAGACCGAAAAAACACAACTCAAACAATGCGATTTGGTCAGGAATCCAGCCAAATCAAACTCCGCGCGACGTCAAAACGAACTTTGCGAGCGTTGGTGAACGTAGCGACATCTATTGGGCGGTTTTATTTTTAGAGTGGCGTTTCCTGCAATCGTTGCGCGTTTAATTCCTAGACGGCGCGACGGAAATCGGTCTCCACTGTGTGGATTTGGTGTTTTTTGTATTCCGTGCATGTTTTGCAGTTATGGTCGTCGTTTTTTGTGAAGATTATTGAACCGTCAAAGAACAAATGTTGTTCTATTTTATTAGGCGTCGATCTGTGACCCAGAAAAAATCCTTGACGGAAGTCGGCAATGGGCGAATGCCCTAGTTTACTTGCTCACGTTATGGAAAAGAGGAATATGATTGTTCTCTGGTAAATATGTCAACGTCGAGCTAATGAAAGTCGACGGAAAAATTAAATTAAATGTTCGATCCCGACGATACCGAAGGGATCAGCGCCGACCGAAAAAAGCCGTATCCCGTGAACTGGGAGGCCGTGGGCGGTATCATAATACCTTTCATCAGTCGGGATGGCGTCAAACTGTCCGAGAAACGGATGGTGGAGAAGACTCTGCTGAAGAAGTACCGTCCGTTTTTCAGCGACGACGTGTTCGACTGCATGAGACCGAGGGCGGTGCGCGCGGCCACCTCGGAACTGCCCGCACTCGACCACATCAACGCCTTGTGCAATTCGATTTTTTTGAGTGGCCCCTACGAAGTGACCGACTTGCTGCTGGAAATAGACGAAGTGGCGAACATCGATACGTTTTTAAGCGACTGTTACGACGTGCTGGTGCTACTCAAAGAGGACGCCCCGAAGAGGTGGGGCTTTTTCTCCGTCGACGATAGCGAAACTCTTATACCCTTCGTGACGGTCGGCGGCGACAAGTTGGTGCCGCTGTTTTACTTTGAGTTGCCGCACGACCTCCTGCTCGAGCACGTGGTCGTCACGATAACCGACCCCTGGCAGCTGGCTTACATCAAGCTCAGCTGCAAGATGCAGAGGGTCAGCAAGGACTTGTACGACTCGGCGGCCGTGCAAGCGGTGAGCATGTCCGACCTGATCCACCTGGTCGCCGAGGGCTCAAAGTTCCGGCTGTGCTGGCCCGAGTACTTCGATTGCGGTTTGCTAAAGGTGGCCGGCGCTGATGAACACGAGGACCCCACGTTGGCGGCGGTGGCGGTCGATGCCGCCGGTGTTTTAGTTAACGATGTGAGGTGAAGTACGATATCTGAGCTTCGTGTTTTTTTTACCCTGTGTTTTTGGTCTTTGGGCTCGTGTAAGGGGCCAGGAGGAATAGGTAAACAAACGGTGCACCAGAGGGAGTGTAAATATTAAAAAGAAAAGGAACCAAACGGCCAAATATATTTTTGAAATCTACAACGTTTTTATTGGTTCAAATCCAGGGAGTCCAACCCCGCCACATCCTGCCCAACAGGTTGTAATCGGTGGCGTGTCTGATCAGTGCGTCCACTTGTTCCTCGACGCCCATCGGCGAACCGCCCGGGGCCACCTCCCGGACGAGCCCCGCGTACGCCTCGTTGAACCTGTTGGAGCGATTTGCCTCCAGGTCTTCTATCAATATGTCGACCGACGACGCCCCCCCGAGTTTCCTGCGCACTTGATCGACTTTTTTCGTTTTGTAGTCGGGCGCGTTCTCCAGCCATTCCTCAGAAGGTTCCTGCACAAACACTTCCATCGTGGCCAGCAGGGCGGCCCGGTTCTGTCGTAGCGACTTCAGGCACTCGATCATCACGTGCCTCAACGGGCCTCTCTCTCTCAACGGCTCCGTCAGCGCCAAAATATGCGGGGTTAGCCTGGAAGGAGCGTTAAATATCCAGAGCCCGCAAAATAGTAAAAAACAAAATAAAATAGAATGAAATAGATAAAGAGCCACCCTGGTATCACGAACATTGGTTTTCCAAAAAATATTAATATAGGAGTAGGAACACAAAACTAATGCGTTAATTTTTTATTTATTTATCAATGGGCCCACCCCCCAATATAAAATAAGATTTACGTAAACAAAAAATAATAAAAAACAAAATAAAATAAAATAAAAAGGAATGAAATAGATAGATAAAGACCTAACCTTAGTATTACGAACGTTGGCTTTCCAAAATATTAATAATATAGTAGTAAGAACACATATAACAAAATAAATATGAACCAAAAGTTCAGATTTTCACCAAAATTATACATTTTCACATGACGCTTGTTTCACCCTGTCTTTATCAAATATAATATTTACAAACCACGTGCTACAATATATACCGAAAAATTACAATAAAATATATAATGAAAATAAATATAATGTTGTGAGAATTTAAGTTTAATAAAGGAGAGGTATTTCAATCTAATTGATCGTTAAGCAATACATTTCAATGTCTCATTTTGTTAATCTCCATGGCTTCCGATAAATTTAATTTTCTACTTTTTGTGACTGTATGTAAAATATCAAAAAACAACCTCGATTTCTGTCTAAACTATGCAAAATTTGGATAGGAATTTCTTAAGAAAGTGACCTCCATTTTAACCAGGGATTCCAAAAATGTAATATGTAAATTATAATATGGATCGTCTTGTTTGGCACACGTGTATTGTGTTTATACACAAAAACCTAATCTGAACTGTCAATTGGCTAGTTTTGGTTAGTTTTTGCATCAGACCGAACCTCACACAACGAAAGACAAAGACAAGAAGGGACCAAATGAGAAACACTAACTTAAGGCAACAAACGACACATTGAACTTGAACGTAAACCAATAGGGACAAGAACGCACACCTCCCAGAAAATGATACAAAAACCAAAATCTTTCTTTTTGGCACTTACCACCTCTGTCAGGTCCAGTCTTTAATTGAGCCGTAGAATATCGATTGGGTGCTTTAAGTTTAGGGGCAAAAGTTTCAAAAAACCAAAACAAATTTGTACAAACTGTGATAAGGGCCAAGGTTTCTTATAAACCCTTCATAAATATCTAATAATAAAAGATTAAGGGTTACCTGATGGGAACCAATTCGGGAATCGGCAATAGCTGGGTAGCGGTACCGAAGGCGTGGCCGAAATCGATCCCCACCACTTTGCCGGTATCGGTGCACACCATGAAATTCTCCAGGTGTCTGTCGCCGATACCCAGAAGCCACTGGGCCACGGAAGTTGCCGCGTAACTCTCGACGAAGTTGTCGCGGTACGCTATGAAGTTCTCGGTAGTGAAACTGATGCCCCAGAGGGCCTTTCTGGAAAGAATAAGGCGCGATAGAGGGCGCTGCGCGAGATACTTCGCAAGGGGACTCACTTTAGCACGTCAGAGGGGATCTCGCCGACTAAACCGGCGAAAAACGGCACCACCTTGTCGCGGCCTTTCGTCATGGCCGTACGACCGTGGGATTCGATGTCGTTTTCCGCCTTGACGAAGAATTTCTCATACTTCGTGGCCACGGAACCGAACTTTCCCTGCTTGAGCATGAAACTGGCCAACGGTCGGCAGTTCTCCACCCACTGAATGATGCCCAAACGCTTGCTGAGTGGTACCACCTTAAAAAAAAAAACTTACAAAAGAAATAAGGTTTAACGACAAGAAAGTATCTAAGTAGTCAATAGCGTCACATTTGCAACTTGCTATCTTTAAATGCTTTTTTCGATGCCGTGGCACGGTAAGAAGACCCCCGCCTTCTACGTACATCTCTCCATCTTATTCTCTTACCGTTTTGGTTTAAAATCTGTGTGAAACTTTAAAATATTTACTAATTTTGTTGTTGTAGATTCATAATTGTTAAAAAATGTCACTAAATAGTGTGGAGTTGGTAATTACTTTGATATAACTCGATCTACGATCCTACCTACTTTCCAGACTTAGCTCCCGGCGACTCTTACCTGTTTCGTTTATACTTATAGATAATATAGTAGTATAGTACAAGACATATACGTCACCTGGTAGGTTACAACTTGGTGCGTCTTTCGGCCACCGTTGGCGCAAATCGCGTTCATCTGGCGCAGCAGCTGCTCGATCCTTTGGTCCTGCCTGACGTCCTCGCCGAACTTGACCAGGAACGGGTACTCCTTACCGTCCATACCGACCATCGTGACCTTTATGGGCCTGCGCATCGAACGCATCACCGCTACGTTGGGTCTGAACATGGATATGCGAGCGTGGTGCTTGACCAATGGCGGTTTTTCCCCGCTGTACTGTCCGGGCACCTCTAGCTCGAAATCCGATTGGCTCGCGGAAAATGCGGCGAGCCACGGGCAGTAGTCCTTGAGGGCGGCGGAGAAAGTCCCGCCCCGTTGTGTCAGCAGCTCTTGGCGCTTCGCATCCACTTCCGCCAGCAAACTGCGTCTCACTTCCGGCTCGCTCGCCGACGCGATCCTCTCGATGAGCGCTTTGAAGCGTTTGACGGAATCGTAGGCGTGTCCTCGCAAACCATCGCACGCGTCGAACATGTCCTCTTCCAATGCGCGCTTCGCACTCATAATTTCGTCAGGATCGGAGCAGCGGTACATCTTTTTGAGGTAATCCCCGAGGGAGACGAGTGGCACTTTCACCTTTGTGCGGTGAACAGAGACGTTTCGGACGAAAAAAATTCGAAATTCTCGTACCCGACTCCCCGAAAGGCGACCTCGACACGCTTTTACGAAAAGCAAGGTGACGGGGTAGCTTTCCACGGTCGCGATCCTCTCCTATATAGAATTGTTTTTGAGGACTTTGCTCGTCTATTTGAGAGTTGGCAAGATGGAGTTTCCCGTTGGTGTAGTACCAGTGCTGCCTTTTATATTTTGCGATTTTCTTAAACTAGTCTTGCCATTTGGCGTACTAACGCTTTCATAGGGAAGTTTGACATTTTGAGGTTAGGTTTTGGCGAAAGAGTGTTATTTGTGATGATTTAAGAAAATTGTGACGGTTAAAAATGGAACTTCAACTTTAGACGTGGCCTAACTCAACAACAAATGAATCGATGAACCTAATTCGACTATTGGAGTTGCATATAAACCTGAAAGTAAGCGGCAGTCGACTCGAAACAAATGGTAGCCTGTTTTTTCAGGAAAACTGGCCACGTTGCCACTGTTTCTTTGATGAAAGGTAAAACAGTCAATTCTGAATGGTACAAAACCATTTGTTTGCCGAAAGTCTTCGAGGAAATTTGAAAAACCAACCGCCGAAGACGAATCACTGTCCACGACAACGCTAGTTGTCACCGATCAGTGCAAACTTTTGAGTATTAAACACGTCGAATTGGTGAGCCGTCCACCATATAGTCCTGATTCAGCACCTAATGACTTCTTTTTACTCCCAACGATTTTTGACAATAGAGGAAGCGATTGATGCGTTTAAAAAGCATGTTTTTGAGGTGCCCGACTCGATGTGGGAAAAGATCGGCCCTCGTATTGAATTGAGGTGGCTTTTAATTGATGAAAATCCATTTATCAAAACAAATAAGAGCTAAAAGTTCAGATTTCCACGAAATTATATATATATATATATATATATATATATATATATATATATATATATATATATATATATATATATATATATAACACGGGCTAGTGAGTTGTTCGTGTTACGTGGGTGTTTTTTGCTCGCGGTTCTTTCGGTGACGTAAGTGGCCCCACCGGGAGTTGGGTACTAAAATTGCTAAAATGCTCGCTTATACTACCTTCGAAAGGGCGGCGACGAACCTATCGACCAACGGCTCGCTCGACAGCAGCCTCGCCAGAGGCTCCGTCCTCTTCTGGCTCAGCCTATACGCGTACATCATAGCCTGGGGGTAAGTTTCGGCGATCCTCTCTAATATGGCGTCGACGGTCGATGTCCCCGCCGCCAACAGTTGGGGAATCCACGCCAAGTACATCCACGTCGGTATCTCTCGCGTTTCGTCCTCGAACGACGCCCTCAGTTCGCTGTCGAGGCCGTTCTTCAGCAGGATGCAGGGAAACAATTGCCTGGCCTCGTCGGAACCGAATCGCATCGCCCTCGAAACGAATATGACGAAATCGGCCGAACGTCGATCGTCGTCCTTCGCGAAGTAAGCGAGTTTGACGAGCGCTTTCCGAATTATGGCCGGGTCTGACTCGTCTCGGTCTACTTCGGCTCCCAGCACGAGCGATTTGAGTTTTTCGGCGGCGATTTTTGTCGGCGGCTCGTCTACCGTGTCGAAAATCTCCGAAATCCTCTTCCGGTTCGGCTCGAAGAGATCCGGACGGTCGTTCAGGACTTCCGTCACCGTTCCGCTGACGTCGAAGAAATCGAGAGCCGATTGTAGTTTCTCTTTACAGTTGCCGTCAGTCATTTGGCCTGGACGCAAATTGGCAAACGTTAGCTTGAAGGGGACGACGTTCGATTGTTTAGTAAAGACTTTTGAGAAACAGTGTAGGAAAGTTTAAAATAGGAGGGCAGCGCCAAAATTTCCCGGCCTGAATATGAAAGGAACAAAGTAGAGTAACAATTTTTTATTATTTTTTAGTACAATCTCCCTTAATTTCAATACACTTATTACATCTCTATATTAACAACTCAATCCCTTTAAAAAAATATTCTTTTGGTTTGGTCTGCAAAATGAGCTAAAACAGCCTCTTTTAACTCAACTTCGTCGTTAAACCGTCGTCCACGTAAGTCCTTTTTCAAATATCCAAACAAATAATAGTCGCCGGGGGCCATATCTGGACTATAGAGAGGATGATCTATCTGTTGGAACCCACACTTTAAAATGGCAGCTTGTGCAACACCAGCAGTATGGACAGGTGCATTATCGTGCAAAAGACGCACGCCTCTGGTCAGTGGTATCAGTTTCTTTAAAATCTATCAAAAGAATTCCTTCACAATCCCAAAAGATCGTGGCCATCACCTTTTTTGTCGACTGGCAGACTCTGAATTTTCATGGAGGTGCTTCACCCTTACGACGCCACTCCCTTGATTCTTTTTTTGATAGAGGGTCATAATAGAGAAACATAGTTTCATCTCCCGTCACAACAGGTCTTATCACAGGATTCGGTTGCGACCCACAGAGTTCCAAAAAAAGACCGCCCACACTCGACACGGCGTTGTTTTTGAATAGCCGAAAGGTTTTGAGGACCCCTTTATATAGATAGAACGCGTTTCGTTAAAAAAAATATAAAAAAAAAATTCAAAAAACCATTTAGAAAAAAAAAACTGGCTGCTCCGCTGAATTCTACGTAAAGATCTATATCGGATGCGCTTTTCATCTTTCAGACATTTCATAGGTTATCCGAGATACGAGGGGCATCGCAAAACTTCAAATTTCCAGAAACCAAACAACGGACACACCCCTCAGTAGCGACCGAAATGGGACACAGGGTACCTACATTCAAGTTAGGCTTCAAAAATTGACTCAAAAAGATTTTTTTGCCAGCCTCCATAAAAACGGCAAAATACGTCAAACAGAGGCTGTTGGCTGGTTGGTTGTTGGCTTCCTCAGAGTTTAACTGAAACCGCTTATATATTGTTCGAGGGAGGCGGACCAACGCATTGTCTCGCGCCCTTTCCTTAGCTCCGCCCACCTCAGAGTGGAATGCGAGTCAGTCAGGAAGCTAGGCCTTGAACCGGACGAAACTTACCGATCCGCTCGAGCGCCTCCAGCAGCTTGTCGAGCTTGAGGCTCGGGTCCCGCACGTTCTCCGCGTACAGGTAGGTCAAACGCGTCAGGATGGCGGACAGGCGACGATGGGCGACGCCGACGTAATTCCTAAAGTACTTCCTGGTCATGAAATAATTCCCGTCGGCCGCCGCCGCCTCCATAAACTCCATATCGAGCAGGATCTTGGTCGTTTTGAGTTCGCGAACCGTATCCCATTCCCGCAGCGCCTCCATCTTGCGCTCGAGCAGACGTATAAAGAGTCTGCGATTGAGGAGCGTCTCCTCGCAGGGGGCAGACTCCCGACCGTCTCGCTTGCACAGATCGAGGAACCGACGCAACTTCTCCGGCGTGTCTTGCTCCCACGTGGAAGCGAGCTCGACGAATCTCCGTATCTCCACTATGCTCTTCAACTGGACCAATTTTTCGTATCGAACGTCGGCATAGGCGGGATTGACCAGTTGCCATTCGTTTAAAAAGTGAGCGACGGCGGTGCGGCAGTACTGCGAAGCTTGGACGACGTCCCCGTGGATCAGCCACAAGAGGGATAGCTCCTTGGAGAAGTTTTGGGTCAGGTACGCGGCCTGATCGGGCGTGGAGAGCGAAGCGTTGATGTCGGCCACGAAAGGACCTGAACCGACGCCTTCGCCAAATTGGATGTTTTTCACCTGCGCCTCCACCAACCACGGCATTATTTTCTGCTGGTGCCAGTCGCCGTCCCAGAGGGCGGGCCAAACGGGATCGGCCATCGACTGAACGGCGCCGACTATCTTATCCCAGCTCCCTAACCGAGCCATACACTTGAACAGGGACTCGTAGTAAAAGTCCTTGCGTTCCGGCGAGTCGTCCTCTCGCAGGAGCCGCTCGTACAGGTCCTGCGCGGACCTGTACATTCCTCGCGACTCCATCGCGATCGCCATCTTCACCGTGTCCCCGCATAGAGTTTTTTCCGTAAAAATCGTCTGCACCGAGGGCCACTCGCCTATCTCCCGGTAGAGTTCGGCCAGTCTGATCCAGTGTTGCGTCTCTGGATCGTCTTGTCGGAAACTTCTTTTGCTCGGACCGGGTTCTACGTCCCCACCGTCCGCTATGTATTCCTCCAGCAGGAAACTGCCGACGGATAAGAGGCCGCTCTGGCGACTGATGTTCGAAACGAGGTCGGAGTCGAATCGTACGAGTCGTTTTTGTTCCAACAGGACGTCGAATAGGACGGAGAAGAGATGGGCGTTGAACTGGACCGATTCGGTGAAGATGCGTTTAATGGCGTCAGCGTAAGAGTCGCGATCGTCCGCAATATGGACGGACAGGCCCCTGAAGAGGACGGAGAACAACTCCTTCGACAGTTTGGTGTCGTGCTGAAACAAGATCCTCTGTGAAAGGGTGTTTTCTAATCGAATGGCAATAATAAACGTATGAACACATGCCCAAAACGTCTTAAGTTTTGAGATACGGAACGAGGCAAAATTGATTTAATATTTTATAGTAGCTCATAAAAAAAGCATTTTGCATGTTTAGTGCAAAGGATTAAAGGTTAATAAATATATGTATATTCCAGTTATTGCAAAAAGATATCTCAGAAGCACAGAAGCAAAATATCAAGCATCAGGAAAAGTTGAAGAGAATGGTGTATTCATCGTAAGGAAGGGACAACATAATCATGAACACTTGAAGGACCAAATACAAGACAGGAGTTGCAAGCATGCGTAAGAAACGAGACCAAAAGAATATATGCAATAGACTTGCGACAAAGTAAAGAACTTATCAGTAATAAAAATATTTGTAGAAATGTGTAGTACATTACACTGTAACGACTGAAACTATGTAAGTATTAATAAATTTCAATTATGTCAGATATGTATTATGTATGTATGTACCTCTAGGCAGAGAGGAGGTGGAGGACACTTTCAACAACTTTTTTTTTAATTTATTAACAGACAACTTTATTAGAAAATATTTACAGTATTTATTTTAATATTCCTGAAGAGTGCGTTTTAATTTTTTGACTTTCATAAAAATATAACATATTATTTTTATTTATTATTTATATATTTAGTTCTAAATAATATAACTTTAAAACGCCTTTCTCGTTGTTTCAAACATCAGGGCGCTCGGTTGATGAAATTGGCGCAGTCGATAGGATTGGATATAATTCCGCCTGACGACTTCAAAAAATTGCAAATGCATCGGAACTACAAAAACGGGAAAATTAACGATATTAACGAAAATACTATACGTTATTCCTTTATATTCTTAATACCGATATGTTTCGTATGGATGATAGTACATCGATGGAAAACTAGGCCTAGTCCCAAAGAAACTGTAGAAATAGAAGAAATTCTTTTTTTTTAAACCAAACTAACGTACGGGCTAACAATATGCTAGGTGATTATCCCCCACGCAAGCACTTACCAAAGTGAGCATTTTTAACGGCCCGATAAGCGAGTCGAGGGTGATGAGTATGTCCGGAAAGTCGCCCTTCCTGTACTTCCGGTAGATCGTGACCTTTTTCTCCGCCTCCACGACGCCTTCCCGCCTTTTTGCAGCCCTGTCGATTTTCTTCGTCACTTCCACGTGGGCGTAGTGCGCCGCGATTTTTGCCTTGTCTTTAAGGAAGCGACGTTTCGGGAGCCTGTAATCCCCCGAGAGTCGCACTCGGTTGGGGTCGACGAAGGGGTCGTCGCCACGCCCACCGATCAGCAGGCTGCTCTCCAAGCCGGTCCTTTGCGTGATCTCCTGCTCCCGGAGTGTAGTACTGCGTCAAAAATAAGTGACAAATAAATGGAATACCTGTTGACGGTTTGTTATTAAAGTGGCATTGCCGGTATTCTTTTCTCTATAAATATGTAATAATAATAATAATAGCACTTTATTTCCAACAGGTAACAATTCCAACAATTACAGTGAAAACTGCCTATAGCGAAACTCCGTATAACATAAAACTCTGTATTACGAACAAAATTTGTTGTACTATTATGTCTCCATACAAAGCTATGTATTAACCCACTCTGTATAACGAATTCACTCTCTATACCGAAAGAAAAAACGTCTTAAAAATGTACCACTTTCTGGACCTGTTGTAAAACTAAAAGCAGAAAAGTTTGCTGAAAAGCTTGACATTATCGATTTCAAGGTTTCGGAAGGATGGTTGGGGAAGTTCAAACAGAGACATGGAATAAATTATGGACAGATAAGTAGCGAAGCCCGTGATGTCGACAGAAACGTGGCTGGAGAAGACGTGGCCAAAACTAGCAGAAAACTACCCTGCTGACGACATTTTTAATGCTGACGAAACTAGTATTTTTTACAAAATGACTCCAGATAAAACTCTTAAATTTAGAAGCGAAAAGTATAGTGTTAGTAGCTGCCGATATGAGTGTCTAGTCGTAATTGGAAAATCAACGAACCCACGATGTTTTAAGAACATCAGTCAGTGAACAGTCTGCATGGATGACATCGCAAATTTTTGAAGAGGAGATACGGAAATGGGATGCAGAATTAAAGGGGAGGAAAATGTTACTTCTCCATATTCCAAAACCAAATAATTAAATATTACAGAACACATATGCGTATTGTTATTTTTCAAGTGCCTTAACTCTTTATAACGAAAAAAAAAAGCAGTCCCTTCAATTTCGCTATATAGAGTTTCGACTGTACAGAAAATGTTAAATAAAAATCATCCAATACATATACCAGAGGGAAAGAAGGAGAAAGAAAAATCGTAATATTGCAAATGTCTCCCTTCTAGTCGCGGCACATGAAATCGTAATTGTTCCAGAAGAAACGGACAATCGACTCCGCAATGAACCAACTTATGGAGAAATGAAACAGATTGCAAATCTCTGCGCAAGCTAAAAGGCAGTACAGCGAAGCTTTTCGGCAGAAGATCAAGATCAACTCCCCTCTCAGGATAGGAACCGTTCTCCCTGAACATTACTTCAGTAACATTCTCTGCACACTATCCATGGACTGACTGAGTGTGGCAGTTATATATTGATGACCATACCGGCGAGCCATAGTCAGTGAAATAACAATTTAACAGTTGCATTACGGTGGAAACCATTTTAGTAATGTGAGGTACAAAAGAGAGCGTCTGGTGAAATCAAATCCCCAGATCCTTCACAGTGGAAAATCTAGTCAGGATAATACATATTGTAATTAAAAACTTGATAATACCTTTGGATACTTTTGTTTAGATTCAAATATTGGGTTAATCATAGTTCTCTTTAATTTTAAAATTTAACGAATTTCATCAAATTACGAATAGAAAACAGGAGACCGCTTAGTCATCCAAGCTAGCTATTCACTGATCACATTTTTAGTTATCCTACCAACACAAGTTTTAGTAGTGGTGTTAGTAGTGCTGGTCAAGTAGAATAGCTAGTGATGAAGTAGAATAGCTAGTGGTTAAGTAAAATAGATAGTGGTTAAGTAGAATAGTTAGTGGCTAAGTAGAACAGCTAGTGGTTTAATAGAATACCTAGTGGTTAAGTAAAATAGCTTTTAAGCTCGACTTTGCCATATTGAAGCACTTTAATTGAAATGAAATGTTGGAAAAAATGTAATAAATAAAAGATGTTTTATTATTATTATCATTATTGAGCAATTGCGGGCGGTTTCATCAAAAATTTGTTATCAAGTCTTGTTATAATAATTTTCTCGTGTTTTCTCTCGTCCTCAGTTTGCAGTCAAAGACAAAATTCCATTTGAGATGCTTGGAGTTTATAGCATTCCATGCATATGCGGCAAAGGATACATCGGAGAGAACGGACGAAAAAATACCAACTATGCTCGAAGAACATGAAAGACCTTAAGACTAAGACAAATAAACTCATCAGCAGTTCGTGAACACAATCACGAATAAGCCTAATATTCTTGTATGTCATCACTTGTCCTATCAAAGAAATCCATAAGCAACCGAACAATCTTAACTCCGCCCCCCTCAAACTATATATAAGCATGTGCAGTTTAGGTCTGAGGACGCCAAGAGGATGTTTGGCAAGCAAATTCCCTTCCAGTTATATTCGAACATATTTATCTTGGCGTGGTGTTCCGCTTTCCCAGAAACAAATAGCCAATAACTGCTGGAAAAGAAGCTTGATTCTACGATTGTAAAAACTACCTGCCACTCTCGGGAGCCTTGACGATGATCGTAAGGCCATGTTTCTCTAAAGTTTTCCATTAATAACGGTTAGTGACACTTTCTACCCGTGTGAAAAACGTTTTACGGTTCTCTCGGATTAAAAAACGGACTATAGTGCTTACGTCGGCGTGAACGCGAAGGAAGTCCGCGTGGCACGTAGGTCTCCGACGCTCGACGCATGCCAATGGTCGTCGCTGAACGTCTCGGCGAAAAGAGGCACCGCCGAAGGCGGTCGCAGCCTCCAGTCCGTCTCCAAGTGGTACGGCTCGTAGACGCAGTCCTCCAGCGGATGCTCGAACAGCGTCCCGTCCGTCGCGACGGAGTCCAGCAGGAAATAAACGACGTCGTTCAGGAACCGGTCCTCGCAATCGGGATAATAGAACAGTGACAGCAGTGCCGGGAACTTTTCCCGTATCCCTGACGGTATTAGCCGACTCTCGCTCCAAAACTTTCGGATTTTCGCGCGGATTTCTTCGTCCGGATCGCCCAGTCCGCGCACCAGGAGTTTCCGGCAGACGGACGAGTCCGGATTGTGGTTCAGCACGAGTGTCGCGACGTCGTAGGCGCGCGCGCGGCACAACACGTTGGGATTGGACGAGTGACCGGCGAGCGCGCGCAAAATATGCCGAAACTCGTCGTCGGAGGTCGCTAGAGTCGGGAACGCCCTCGCGACGATCTCGAGCGCGACCATCTGCACGGAGACGTTCTCGCATTCGAGATGCGCGCACCATTTCTCCGCCCGGAAATCAGGGACGTCGCGCAGCGTCTCGACGTTCCTCAGCACGATCTTGAGGAGGATCACTTTCAAATTGTCATTCGATTGGCCGAGGTGGTTGAAAATCTTCATCGCGTGATACCGGTCCACGACCTCTGGGTAATGGATGACCACGGCCTCGACGCAATAGGCGTACTTGTTGATGTCCAGGTCCGGCTTCAACAAAATCCGGCTCAGCTGGTCGCGGTAACTCTCCTCCAGCTGCGGAAGTTCCTTCCGGACGTAATCCAACAGCAGGCCCAAAGTTTCCGCGCACGGTTTGTAAACTGACGATAGGTCGCTGTTTAGGAGACGCGTCAGTTGCGCCCAAAGCTCGGCGGCGTCGGGACAAAGCCCGTTAGCGAGGAAAACGGACGCCAGATGGATTCCGATCTCCGCCTTCCTGTCGCACGTCGCGCATCCCAGTCTGGCCGACAACGAAGGGCATCGACCACGGAGGCGGTCCTTCCAGTTTTCCACCACCAGCTTGATCAGTTCCACGTGGTATTTGAAAACGTCGCGACGCTCGTTATTTAAATGGCCGACCGCGAACGCGAGCATTCTCGAGCAAAGCTCCGCCCTCTTGTCGTCGTACGGTCCTAGGTGCGACGACCACGTCGCCACCGTCACCATCTGAAATTCGTTATTTCGCGGTCGATGATCCCTTAGACCTTCCATAGCGCAGTCACGTGTAATTAAACCTACATTGAACAATTTATACCGAGGAACAACGGACTCCAATGCCAACCAAGGGACGTATGTTCAAATTCGGTTCGGCCAACAGCTGAGACGTGACGTGTACGTGATCGAGTGACAGAATATTTAAGTTAGAACCAGCGTCTTTTATACCGATATCAAGTTTGAAACTTATTTAAAATGTATCTTACTAAGTGAACATTTTATGACTTTTTTTTAACAGGAATTCAGTTAATTGTGGGTAGTAAATTCATAGGGTAATGCAGAACAGAAACAGAACCCCTAACAAATATCGAAACACACGCGCACACACAGAAACAAAATATCGAGCATCAGGAAAAGTTGAAGAGAACTGTGTGTTCATCTTAAGGAGACCAAAAAAATATATGCAATAAATAGACTTGCGACAAGGTTATTAATATTAAACATATTTGTAGAAATGTGTAGTACATTACAATGTACGACAGAAACTATATAAGTATTAATGAATTTCAATTATGTTAATGTAATTTTAGAAATGCCTTACTTCCTTCAATTCAGTATGTACGTCTATACAGAGGTGGAGGCAATCGAATGTACCTGTAGAACTGAAAGATTTGACTAGAATTCTGGGAGATTTTTTTTTATAATCATTTAGAATATTTAAAACGCATTATTTTTTAATTTGTCATTATTACGAATAGAAAGACCGCTAAGTCATCCAAGATTTTAATCTAGTTTTTTTACTGATCGATTTTCTAGTTACCTTACCAATACAAGTTTTAGTAGTGGTGTTGGTTAAAAGAACAGCTAGTGGTCAAGTAGAATAGCTAGTGATTAAGCAGAATAGCTAGTGTTTGAGTAGAATTGGTAGTGGTCAAGTAGAATAGCTAATGGTTAAGTAGAATAGATAGTGGTTAAGTAGAATAGCTTTCTAGCTAGACTTCGCCACATTTAAGCACTTTAGTTATTTATGAAATGCAATTTTGGTTAGTTTTTGGTTTTGTAGACTGTGTAGCGCGTAACGTGGAGCAGCGTTATGGTTGAAGTATTGGGAGTTTTTCAAAAATCGAATTGATATTTGTTTTTTCCCATATTAGTAGAAGATCCGAATGTAAATCGACCTTCACAGAGCTGATAATATAATGAAACATATTTTATAATAAATTTAGTATATTAGACAATATATTAAAAATGGGTCGTCTAAAATCCTGGACAGACTAACTTTAGGTATTAAAAAATTGCAAAATTTTGCAACTTCAAGATAATAAGAAAATTTTCCCCCAACTTAAAGTACAAAATTATTTAAGCGGACGAACTACTGAATTGGTGAGTATAAATTTTATAACTAGTGTTTAAATAGAATAGCTAGTGATAAAGTAGAACAGCTAGTGGTTATGTAAATTAGCTAGTACTTAAGGAGAATAGGTAGTGGTTAAGTATAATAGATAGTGGTTAAGTAGAATCGCTAGTGGTTAAGTAAAATAGCCGGTGGTCAAGTAGAATAGGTAGTGGTGAAGTAGAATAGATAGTGGTGAAGCAGAATAGCTTCTAATCTCGACTTCGCCGTATTGAAGCAATTTAATTATTTGCGAAATGTAATTTTGGAAAAAATGTAATAAATCAAAGATGTTTTGGTTAGATATTTTATTATTAATCTTTGCAATAAAGGTAATTGTAGACACATTCACACTGTTATTCTGCAAAAAAAAACGTTATTCCCTCCAAAAATCCTTTTACTTGCGAGAAATTTCTCTCTCCCTACCGACCTTCAATGCTTACCACGTCCGAGACGAAGTAGTTCATCCCCGTACCGGCCACGTTGTCAATCACGAACCTCATGAGCGGCTCGACGAAGTGCGCCGCAAAATGGCGGAACACGTCCGCCACGTTGTCGATCACCTTCGCCCAGAAGATTTTCACGTTTCTAGGGGTGTTTTTGTCGAGGAGTAGACAGCGCACACCTGCAGATCAAACACCAGTCAAATCTTGGGAGGACGACCCGAGTCCTGATTCACCCTCCATCCAGTTGGGTAACGTAGGCGTCTCGCCTTCATCCGGCAATCGGTATACTCCGGTTTCGAACACGTGACGTATTAGACCGCAAACGGTGGCCATGCACTCGTGTCGGTTCACTTCGGTACCGTCCAAGACGATCTCGCTCCGCCCATTGTCGACGTCGTCGGTCGCCACTCCGCCCCTCAAAACGGCGGTGTTAAAGTCGTACTTGGTGACGTCCTGGCTCAGCGAACTGTTGAACAGTTTCTGCGACTCGAGGTAGACGAGGCGACGCTCGCCGTCGCGACGCAGGCCGTCCCGGATGTGGACCAGTTCCATCCGTTGTTTCGGCAGCGACGCGAAGTCCGTCGCGAAGTCGTACTCGACGTCGACGTCCACCAGGGAGCGCCACAGGATGTCGACGCCGTCCTCCTCACGGACGAACAGTTTCTCATAGAAACTCGACAACTTTATCGAATTGCTCACGATGGAGGCGAGCGCTTTATACGCGGCGCAGATCGTTTTGCGTCTCTCTTCTTTGCTACCTGCATCGCAGAGGGAAAACGTTCTCTCTATGGAACCTTCGCAAAATTGATGTAATTGCATTGTGTATGCGCCCTGGATACGAGGGCTAAAATATGTTCATAGATATAAGAAAGTGACTAACTGATACGAATTAAGGAAAGACCCGGGGAAAAACATCGTTACTATGAATGGCAAATTTCAGTTGGTGTCAAACATGTTTAATGGGATTAAATATACAGTGGTAAGGTGGAAGCCTTAAAACTGTATGCCCTAGATTTTTTGCATAATTATCACAGACGTATTCCTTTTGTATACGCATCTAAAAACGGTAGCTACGTAGCTAAGACGTAAGGATCATTTTCGATTACGTCACTCCGATTGGGGTTACGTTACGTTACCGTTTCGGGGGCTTTTGAAGGCGGCCAAACACTGCGTGACCAGCCGGAGGCGAATCTTCTCGTCGGCCATCGGGATGCGGGAGAAGAGTACTTCCGCCACCCGGAAATACGCGATGCGACGCCCCGCCTCCGAGGTACCGCCCTCCAAATCGTCGACGAGGCGATCCACGTTGTCCGCGACGAACGACTCGAACGCCACTCGCGAACTATGGTTGAGGACGACGCCCAACACGCCGTCGCAGAGCTTGACGCGCTGCCGGAAAGTGTCGGACGGGTCCAGACACGCTTTGAGGGTGGCGTTCAGGAGCTGCGCCTCGTATTCGCGGTTGTTGTTCAGGCAACACCTGAGCAGATCCGCGGGAATCGCGTCGATCTCGCTCGCACCGTAGAGGCGGACGATAAACTCGAAGATCGGCACCGACCTGACCGACGGCAGGGCCGCGAGCAGAAGCTCCGCCCCCTCGGGGGGTACGGGCGCGCGCGTCAAATAATCGACCGGCTCGGCCCCCTCGCAAAGGTCGACGAGGACGAGCGCGACGCCGAGGAAATGACCCGTATTTAACTTGCCCTCGAGCCAGTCGGATACGCGGCGTCTCACCTCGTCGCTGCGTCCGAACGCCCCCGCGAGCTTTTTGACGTATTCGAACCCCGCCTCCGCGCGACCTTGGTCGAAATAGTCGCGAAACGCGGGCCAGTAGTCCAGCAGAGCTCGCTGCGCGCGCGCAGCTCCGGCACCGCCCCTTTCGATGTAGATGAGCACGCGAGACGCGAGTTCCACCAGGACGTCGGCGCCGGCACCGACTCGAAAAATGATCTCCACGTCTTCCGACAGGTGTTTGAGGATGGCGTCACCGAAGCGCGTCGCCAGGTAACCCCCGAACGCGGTGGCGTCGGCGTCGGGCGCCTTCACCACGTAAGGCTTCGCCAGGTGCTCCACTAACGTCCTCAACTCCTCGGGCTCGGATAAAGTGTAGTCTAGCGCTAGGGAACAGAGTTCTATAGCGGTTTCCGAGAGGTCGGGCAGAAACACGACGCCGTCCTCCAGGTGGGAGTAGAAATTGGTCATCAGCGAATCTACGAGTCTCAAAGGAGGCCCGAACGCCGCGTGGGGCTTCAAAATTAACAGGCCCTTGAGCAGTTGTCGTTGTTCGTAGTTGGCGTTGGCGCCGAGGTCTACGCGAAGGTCTACGTCAGCGCGGAGCGCCGCCGCCAGCTCCTCCAAGTGGTGGCGGGGCAATCTGCGCACCAGCGAGTCGATAACCACCCGCACGTACTGCGTGTCGTCCAGTCCCAAAGCGTGGGGCTCGAAAAGGGCGCGACGCACGAGCGTCCACAGCTGCGGCCGCCAGAGCGCGTTGTCGGGGACGTGGTTGACCAACGCGTCGATTAATTTCAAAATGGCCGCGCAACACGCCGGTTTGTTCTCGCTGCTGGAAGAAACAGCGGCTTTGTATATACGAATACCTTGTGTACCCAATGTAATACTTTGTAATTGTTCAATGAAGTACGAAACTGTCAGTTTTCCCTGTAAAGGGTTTTAATAATGAAGTTACATATTGAAGAGTTAATCCTGGTTTGTGAATCTGCGAGAGTCCGTAAGGACGAGGGCTTTTTCACGGACAGATTTGAGGTTGCGTTGCATAGACGAAGTAGGATCTTTTTTAGGTTGACGACATGATCCGTCTGTAAGAATATCTTGAATCTTTTCCTGATATTCGTTTGTGTTTATGACCACCGTAGCATTTCCTTTGGTTGCTTTTAGGATTACGATATCCAGATTAGATTTTAGAGATTTTGGGGCAAGGCGTTCAATGTTTGGAATATTAGATTTAGTTTTAGTACTATTAGTCTACTTTAACTACTTTTTTTTAGATAATGGTCTTGCGACTGCACTTATATCTTTAGATTCCTCTAAAATCTCTAATATCAGAGAGTTACCCTTGACAATGTAAGTTCTGAATTTTTCCCTGTTTCGTCAGCTGTGCCGCAAGGTTCCGTCCTTCGAATTATATTATTCTTAATTTATATTTCTAATATTTATACAACCGTCGAATATTTGAATTTGCATTCATTTGCTGATGACACTCAGCTATTTTACTCCTTCGATCCTAAATTATATGAAATTTGGATTTTCATAACAATTCAATTATGCGTTTCACAAAAAATATTGGGCTCGACTGCTAGGATCATTCGCCCATTGCCGACTTCCGTCGAGGATCTTCGCTTTTGGTCGTGGACCAACACGTACAAAGAAGACATATAACTAATATTTGCTCAACTAGCAAAAAACAATTTTGACCGATACCAAAAAAACCGACACCCCCCGCTTCCGCCAAGGACCATCCAGGCCCATCCGGCCCCCATACCACCCCTATATTCTTCTAGGCATAATCTTTAACTTTATGCTAAAAAATGCAGTGTAATGTTCTTTTCTCCTAAACCTAACATTAAACAAGTATCCCACATGTAATAAAAACATCGGTGTTATATTTGACTGAAGACTTAGATTCGAGGAATATGTACCTTTGTTGGCGAAAAAGTCTTATTCGGTTTTGCGCCATTTATACAGGCATAGAACTGTCCCTAATTTCCGTTCACGGAAACTTTTATGGATGCGGTCTACAATACAATTAGCCATACTTTTTAGGAATTCCGGTGTACGGCCAATAATTTACTCTGGGAAAGAATACTCTTCAGGGTTTTCTTTAGATTTTTGTCCATAATTAAAAACCCAATATATGATCGAAAAAACACTACAGTCCCGGATCCCCAGCGTATCTTGATTTAAGAATTTTGCTGATCGGCTAAACAGCTTTCGAGAAAATTAAAAAAAAAAAAAACATTTTTTTTACACATTTTTTTTTAAATAGTGGAAAATCTCGCCTAAGTCCGATCGCGACCATTCCTCATAAGATTGTGTGTTCCGTGGACTGTCTAAAAGGAATTTATATGGATCAATAAAACACCATTATTATAAAATTATGCGTCTATGTTTATTTTATACCCATGTGTTAAATTTTTGCAAAATTGTGCTGCATTTTTTTGCCTCTTGACTTGTCCAACTGTATTTGTCATTTATATAGATGGATAAAACATCGTTATCACTAAATTACGTGGGTGTTCTTATTTTATTTATCCATGTGTTAAAATTTTTCAAAATTGGGCTGTATTTTATGCAATTTTTAATATATATTTTTTCTTGGCCTCTTGACTTGTGCAACGCATGTATTTATCATTTATATGGATCAAAAAAAATCATTATCATTAAATTACGTGCGTGTTCTTATTTTATTTATCCATGTGTTAAAATTTTGCAAAATTGTGCTGTATTTTATGCAATTTTTATTTTTTTTTTCTTGGCCTCTTGACTTGTCCAACGCATGTACTTATCATTTATATGGATCAAAAAACATTATCATTAAATTACGTGTGTGTTCTTATTTTATTTATCCATGTGAAAAAATGTGCTGTATTTTATACAATTTTTTATATGTTTTTTTCTTTGCCACTTGACTTGTCGAACCCAAGTTTATATGGATCAATAAAATGTCACTATTATTAAATTGTGTCTGTATTTATTTGGCACCCATATGTTAAAATTTTGCAAAATTGTGGTGTATTTTATAAAAAAAAATCTATTTTTCTTTGCCTCTTGACTTGTCCAACACATGGACCAACAAAACGTCATTATCATTAATTAGCAAACTATTGGCATTTTTCAAAATAAAAAAAAATAGTTATTATTACAGACATTTGACGTAAAAACAAACCTAAGGTCGACGAAACGAGCCGCTCGTTCGACTAGGGCGTCGACGTCGACGCTCGTCAGGTTGTGACTCAGCACGAAGGCGTAACCGTCGACTAGACGCGGGAACGCCTCCTCGGTCACGTGGCCGTCGTACAAAGACACCAAGTGGGGTACGTGCGTCTGCGCGAACTCGCTAAGCGTGACGCCACACAGCGGCGCCAATCGGACGAACAGATCGACGCTCGCGTCTCCGCAATACTTGCTCGGACTGGCCGTCTGGACCAGGAGCCACTTGGAGACGCCTACGAGGTTTCCCGGTTCGACGTCTGGGGGCACGCGACGCTTGGCGTCGATTTTCCGGAACAAATCCGCCCGTTCCGTCAATATCCGTCGCACGTGCCTCAGCGTCTTGTTAATCGCTTCCGCCGCTTCGTCGGACTCGTCGTCGCGACGCCCCCGCATCGAAGCCAGTCCGTTGACGAACAAGTGCAGTATTTCGATGGCGAACACGTCGAGTAACGCGCGTTCATCGCGCAACTCGCGGTAAATGTTGTTGAAGATGACCGTGGAGCCGCGTTTCTTCGCGTAGTCCGGATGCGAAGCGAAGAACCTCATCTTCCGGACGATGACGCGGACGTGCTTGGGATCGTTGGCGAGCGATTTTTCGCCCGTCTGTTTGATCGTCCATTTGACGAACTCGCCGATCGCGACGCCAGCGAAATCGCGGACGCTAGAATTGGTGGGGTGGGCGGCGCCTTCCTAGAGGAACCATAAACGAAATTGTACGGACAGACTTTTACGGATCAATGTTATTCTTTTTATCACGATTACATTTATCTGTTATACCATATTTAATTTGTCAATGGATTTATAACTGCCTAATTTTTAGTTTACGGGCGATGACAGACGTAAATCCTCTTTGGTGAAAGTCTCCAGTGGGGGTCCCCCGAGGGTCCGTACTCGGCCCAGTATTTTTTATAGTGTATGTTGCTGATCTATGCCGTTTTTTGGGGTCTGTGAAATGTGCTCTATTTGCGGACGATGCCAGTTTTACCTTATATGGTCCGAATTGGAATGACCTACAGAACATTATTGAGGAACTGGAGGGCAATGCGGGCACAATCGGTTTAAAAATAATTATTTGAAATTAGATATTTTTTATTATTTTTCAATATAATCCCCCTTAACGTCAATACACTTATTACATCTCTTTATTATCAACTCAATCCCTTTAAAATATATATTCTTTTGGTTTGTCTGCAAAATGAGCTAGAATAGCCTCTTTTAGCGCAACCGCCGTCCACGTAAGTCCTTTTTCAAATATCCAAACAAATAATAGTCGCTGGGGGCCATATCTGGACTATAGGGAGGATGATCTATCTGTTGGAACCCACACTCTAAAATGGCAGCTTGTGCGACAATAAATAACTCTTAAAAAACAACTCTTCCCCCGTTGGAATTAAAAAAAAAACTATTAAACACATTTTAACGGAAGAATGATATAACTATAAAGAATTTTTGAATGCAACTTGAAAGCTTGTGACCTCTGAATTTTTGGTTAGTTTTTGTTATATACATTGCATGTTTACTTCTAAAACCCATACTGACAACTTTAAATGTATTTGTATAAAATACTTATATTGTTATTTTTTTTAAGCGAACACCATAGATCATCAAATTGAAACAAAATCAGGTGAAATTCCGTACGCCACTAAAAAGTGGTACACTAAATAATATGGCTCCGAAGGTCCACTACTCACTGTTAATACGTTGAGGATGACTGCTACGTGGGGATTGGACGATTGCTGGGGCGCCGAATACCAGTGAGCGAGTTGCAAAAACAGCGGCTCAAATAGCTGGCGCACGACCGGGTCGACGTCGCCTGCGAGGCACAGCAAAGCGGACGCGACATCTTCCACCAGGTCCTGCGTGTCCGACAAGCCGGTCGGTGTAAGTTGTTTGGCTGAAACCGGCGCGGTCAGAGTAAACAAGCCGTTTTTTTTTTTTTTTTTAATAAATATTCCTATACATTTATTTTCACGTAAACTGAAAAAAGTTCAGAGAAAAACATCAATCCTGCTACTGGTAATCCTAGAACTAAAAAAGATAAGCTGTGGACAGAAATTACGTAAGTATTTTGGCCAGAAAATGGAAAAATTTCTTATTGATCAAATAAAAAAAACGGTATTATCTATGCTTCTCTGACCCCATATAAATATCATACATTGCATGAGGCAGGTCGGAGTCAGTTATTTCGCTGAAAGTCTTTTTTTTTTCATTGAACAATAAGAAATTATGTTCCACTACTGCTAGGAAAACTTAAAACTAAAGTCTAACTAACCAATCCCTAGACTATAATTACTTAGACGCTTAATTTAGCACTAATGACTATAAACTTTAAAATATTGAAATGAAAACCTGCATTTTTTTAACTGATTCGCATTTTACAGGAACTGAAACGTAGGTTTTATCCGAAGATAGATAGATAAATATCGATCCAATCGGGCTTCTTGACAGTGAGGTCTAGATTTTGAACTTTCTTTTAAAAAAACTCGCTGAATGCACTCCATTTTATGAATGACTTGCGCGGTGTCTATTATGTTGCTGCTATTTACTTAGCGTATTTTGTATTGTTTCCTTCTTTTAATTGAATTTTCTTTAAAAAAAAAAACACGCTGAATGCATTCAATTTTATGAATGACTTACGCGGTCTCTAATATTTTGCTGTGAATCATGTTTAATGCTATTTACTTTGCGTATTTTGTATTGTTTCCTTCTATTAATACAAAAAAAAGTTGACAGAGAGGTATAGATTTTGAACTTACTTTTTAAAAAAAACTCGCCGAATGCACTAAATTTTATGAATGACTTACGCTGTCTCTATTATGTTGCTGCGAATCATGCTATGCATGAATGCTATTTATTTTGCTCATTTTATATTGTTTTCTTCTTTTAATATAATAAAAAGTTGGCAGAGAGGTCTAGACCTTGAACTTTCTTTAAAAAACACCACTGAATACACCCAATTTTATGAATGACTTACGCGGTCTCTTTACTTACTGTATCCCAGGAGCGTCACGGTTATGGCCTGGAGCACCTCGCAGGCGGTTATTTTGGTCTTGCGATCGGTCGAGTGCAGAGCCAGTGCGGCGACCCGCTCGACGAGGGCCTCCAGGTGAACCACCACGGCGACGTCGTCGTACGGAAGCGCCACCTTCAGGTAGCGAGCGGAACCGCATCGCGACATTCGCTGGACGCGATCGGGGCGGACGAGCGCTCGACAGACTCGCTCCGTTTGGCTGCCGACAAACGCGAGCGCCCTCTGTTGAAACTTGACGAGTTCCGGCTCGAGTTCGACGAGGACGGAGCGTTTTTTTAACGCCCGAGATGTTTTGCGCGAGGGACCGACGCCCGCCGTTTGCGCGACGCTTGCTTTAAAAAAGGGAGTGATAGAAATAAGAAGCTAGTACTAATCATATTTAGAGATCCATGAAAAATGTTGTTATATACAGTCTGAGGGGGGCGGAGCTATAGATGGGGGGCATGAACATTGATATTTTTCGACCTGTCTCTCCAATATATTCTTTGCCGCATATGTACCCGCACTCCTGAATATTTGGATGACAGGAAATCAGTTCATCACCTAAATCTGGGACACGGACTCACTCTCGCTCTGCCGCTGCATAGAACTGCAAAATTTCGATGTTATTTTACATATAACGCTGTAATTTTGTTCAACCCCTTAGATCGCGTTCTCAAATCAAAGTTTCTTGGTTCATGCAAAACTTTTAGATGGTAAAAATCAAGTGTAAATTTATGTTGTAAGGTTCTTCTTTGGTGTGTACATTAAGCTATATGCCGACCGAAATCCTGATTGTTTCTCCGGTAATATTGCGTTTGCGCTGGCATGGCCGCACTATTAGCGTTGCTAAAGACTTTTAAGAAAGTAGGAAGAATGCTGATCGAGCGAAGACGACTGAACTCGCACGGATTCTTAATTTTTGGAAATGGGATAACATCTGCATGCTTCCAGTTCAGTGGGAAATAAGATGGCCGTATGCACTCATTAATACTGTGTGGGATGTACGGGACAACCATACGGCAACATAGCAAAATAAGCAAAAAGCTTCCATAAATATATTGGCGATGGCTGGAGCGGTTGTATAAGGGGTTAACAACAGACAACAAATCGTAACGTTACCGTTTTGCCCATTCTTTCACTACAGAATACGAAGGAGAACTTTGGCCGTACACACCATCCAGCCTTTCTTTAATAATTTTAGTTGCTAACACTTCTTTTGTCAAAAACTTTATGACTGCTCTATACTCAATTTGCTTTATTTGCGACATTTTTTCGGACACGTCTCGTTTAAAATATCTGACGCAAGACTTCCATTTTGTTTTCGCAGCCTACTATGATATATATTTAAAAGAAGAGAAAGTTTTATCGTGATACTGGAGCTGCATCTATGCCAGGCCGGGAAATTTCGGCGCTAACCTCGTATAAACAACCGACGCAGTTTCTTTGACGAGAGGGTGGGAACCTACCCAGCGACTTGCCCGTCAAGTAGCCGTCTAGATAGTGAACGATCCGGACGAGGAAGTCGTCGAAGACGTCGCGATCGACGTAGCGCTGCCAACGCTCCAGGCAGTCGACGGCGGAGTCGGCCAAAGCGGTGTGTCCCTTGAAGATGACCTCGAAAGCGGGCGCGTAGTGCTCGAGGAGGGGCTCGGCGACGCTGGCGGGCGTCGCGAGCAAAACCTGGAGACAGGCGACGAGCAGCTCGTCCTTGAAGCGTTTAACCTTTCGCGCTGTCGCGACGACGAACCCGCTCAACTTCTGCGACGGTTCCAAGGCCACGACGGAGAGGGCGTCCGCGATTTTCATAGCGGCCGCGAGCAGTTTGTAGAACCCGCTGACCAACGGGTGCCGACGGCACCTGTCTACGAAATGGTCGACCATTTTGGCGACGCAACGCGTCAGCGTCGTCGGTTCGATCGCGTCGAAGATTTCCAAGTAAAAGTCGACGACGTTCAGGAAAACGGCGTAGTCGTCAGGGTTCCTCGCCTTGTAGAGCGTCCCTATATCTGTGACGTCGACGTCTTGGCACGCGTCCAACGTCACGTCGAGTTTGTTGACGAGCATCATCAAGGTTTTGATCAGGCGATCGATTATACGGACGACCAGGTATTTTCGGTCGTCGAGGAAGATCGAGTACCGATCGAGACTCCGATCGCCGGTCAATTTCAATACGCCCCTCCACAGAGGGAAATAATCCTTCACCGTCACGCCCACGGCATTCGTGGCGTGTCGATGCGAACACGACCAAATCACCCCTGCGAACGTGAAAATTCGAATCGCATCGAGTATAGGGCGTCTCAAAGTATATCGTTTTGTGGTTAAGCGATAATATTAGCCAAATGATGTGTATTTTCATGGACTTGGTAGGTATTATGTAAAAACATACGTTTTTGTCGGTGTAGCAATACTATATCGGTTTGTTACCAAACATCTCAAAGGTTCGTGAAAAAATTGCTGCTAAACAACTTTGTCATCCTGCCAGGCACTCGATCTGGTTTTCCACCTCTCGCAGCACCACTTAGCATTGTTTTGTGGCCGTATTTTTATTATAATTTCTAATTATTTTTTTTTACACTGACATGACCGTCAGAATGGACAAACGTCAAAATTCAAGGCGTGGGAAACATCTCCGAAAACATCCGATTGCTCCCAAACCCGTGAAGATTTGGAACAACAAAGAAGGAAAAATCGCCATATGCTTTAATGGAAACATGAAGGAATATATTCCCATTGCGAGTATAGTCTCTTTCAATCTTCATATTGTTGGCTTTTGAACGGAATTATGGAAGTTACCTGGTGAAGTTATAACATTTATGTTGCGAATCAACATAAATATAATTTTCTAACGGATATTCCTGGATTTCAGTTTTTGAACTTGAGGCAGTAGACAAAGTTAGATGATAAGACACTACAAACAGAAGAAGCTCGCATTATCCATCACAATAACACTGTTATTGGGAATATTTTTTAAATGATTGCTTTGAAACTAACTTTTAAAAAGTCGGCACTTGTTGTTTGGGGCAAATCCGTCTTCTGACCCTGCGTGCATTACAGTAATAGAGTTTTCATTTATTTGAAGCAACCCCATGTTTAAAGTTTGATTTTTAATGTTGTAGTTTTAAAATTTATTATATATATCCTATACCGTCCGACCAAGACGATATACTTCGAGACAAAATATACAGCGACCTTGCCTTGGTATATGGCGCTTTCCAAGAAGGATTCGAAATGATCCGTTTTCCTGAGGTAGAATAAGGTGGTCGCCAGAGCCTCGATAGCGAGCGAACGGTGAAAAGGCTTCAGTTTAGGATAAGTTTTAAACAGGTTCACGATCGCTCGCTGAAGGCAGTGGATGTCCGTAGCGGAGGCGTTCTGAAACCTTCAAATTGAAAACAAAAATCGTTTCTAATCCTCTAACCTATTTTTTAGTTTTTAATTTTATATTATTTCTTTTTTTTTTAATTGTTTGTCTTTTTTACTATCTTTTTTTATATATAATTATTTCAATTCATGTAGAGGATATTCTTAGGATATTTTTCATATCTCATTTTTATATTTCATTTTCATAAAATAGAAAAAAATCAGATGTGTACAAAATATGTTTTGTTAATAGTATTAATCGGCAGCTTTACCATCAAAAGCAAAATGAAAAAAAAAAAAAAAAAAAAAAAACTTGTGCACCAACCATACCGAATAGGTTAATTCCATCCCACGCGAGTACCAAATACTGGGATAGAATTTTTGTAGTCGTACAACCAATTGGACTACTGGACATTACCTTCCCAGTATTTCTCATAGGCCGCTGGAAATAACCTAATAAGTAAGGTCCACTGTTATATCTATATAAGATTCTATATATATACTAACGACGTCTCAACTAGTATATCTAGATATCCTTAGTATGTCCTAACAAACATCCTACTGACATACGTATCTGATATACTGATATACTTAGCTGAAACAGTATATCCCTAGGATATACTAGTAGATTATATTTGTGTTGTACTTAACGAAAAGTGGGAGAAAACAAACGCCTATAAAAAGAAACTTCATTGAAAAAAAATATAAAAAAACTTTTTCATTGTAAAAATTCTTACAATAACCGATTTCAAAGTTGTAATTTTTGCAACCAAATGTTGAACACAACGTATAAAACGAGAAGACCCCGTTCATTTGTTTTATTTAGCAGGAACAAACCGGATCTAACGAGATTTATTTCTAATTTTTCCAAGCGTAGAAAACGATCCTTTGATCTTTTCCTACTTATCGCCCCAGAAATATCGAAGCAAACGATAAAGTATTTCGGCACGCGAGAGAGAACGCCAGAAGAAATCTAAACTTGCCAAAAAACGCAGCATATATATATATATATATATATATATATATATATATATATATATATATATATATATATATATATATATATATATATATATATATATATATATATATATATATATATATATATATATATATATATATAATCAATATCTGAAATTTGTATTTGTTATTTTTTACTGGTACTTTTGCATTATTTTGTAAATAACGTTCAAATAGGATATTATGACGGTACCCACGTTGTTATTTCCCCATAAAGAGCAAAGTAAATGCTACTTTTTTGGTGCTCCACAACTGAAAGTATACAGGCTGAATTAAAAAAGCGTGACGAATAAAACATAATTTTTTTCAAATGAAACGACAATTTTGAAAATTAAAATTCTTCAAATTATTTAGTATTATATGTTATTAATACCAAATAATTTTTCTAATATTTTAATATTTAAAAAAAAAACTAGTTTCCGGTTATTCGAAGATAAAGCAAAAGATATACGCAAGGGAACTTTAATTAGATTTACATAATTTCAAATTGAAAAATCTCGATTTCCTTAAACGGCACACCCCGTATACATATTTTTTCAGACAGATCTTACAACTACCTACAACTTTTATATGTCGGCAAATTAAAAAAAAAGCAAGTATGGATTGTGCTAAAGCTCAATTAATTGATATGATCCAAATTCGAGATGGCTTTCAGCATTTGCAAAATAGATTTTCGAGGGAAGTCGAAAGCTAAAAACCGCATCGTGATATGTCAAAGCGGTGCTGAGCTACAGGGTGATTCTTAAAAATGTACGTTACTAAAAATCCTCTATAACTTTTTTATTCTTAAAGAAGAAGAGATTTTTATTAAAAACATTTTTTTAAGTGCAAATCTACCTGTTTCACCGATTTTGTCACGAGATATAACAAAAAATTTTTTTTTTTTAAATGGAATACTTCATTTAAAAAAAAAAATAGTTTTCTAATAAAATTTCCTGTCAAACGATGTGCCATACGCCTATTTTTATTAAGTAGTTAAAAAGATATCTGCAATTTTTAATAATTACCATAGTAGGCTGTGCTTACCTCTGACCTATGCAGTTTTACGGTATCTATCTAGGTAGCTATGATCAGATAAAAACAATTGCCATGATACACAAGCCCGAGTGTCAAATGTGGCGTCTTCGTCAAGTATAAAGGTCCCATAAATTGGCCCCCCAGGTCTCCAGACCAGACCCCTTGGGACTTCTCTTTTGAAATAGCAAAACTACTAGAAGGGAATTGGAAGAGGCACTTCGTACTGCATTCAGGCAGCTTCATGCGGTAGAACCTCTTAATACAGAAAATTGCGTCAAGAGAAGATGTAGGATATGTTTACAAGAAAACGGATGTCAGTTCGAGCATTTGTTTTAGAATTAAGTGCGAGGTTGATTTTGTATGAAAAAAAAAAAACAATAAAATTTTATCCACACATTTAGGCCACGCACAGCGCCTATTATGATAAATATCAAAAATTGCAAATATCTTTTAAACTATGCCACATCTTTCGACAAGAAATTTTATTAGAAAACTGATTTTTTAGAAAAATTGGGGGTATCCCATTTAAAGAAATATAACTTTGTGTGATATCTCGGGAACTAAAGGCTCTAAGACAAAACGGGTAAAATAGAGAGATTCCCGGTTTAAAAAAAAAAAACTTAAAAGATGTTTTTTCCCAAAACTCTATTCTTACAATTAAAAAAAAGTTATAGAGGGCCTTTACAATCGCACATTTTTGGGGGTCACTCTGTAGATCAAAAACGCCTTGACATATTACGATGCAGTAACATGCATATCAGTTTTGGGCTAACTATGCTGCAAATGCTTAAAGCCGTAGAAGCCTCTCGAATCTGGACCACCCTGTACATATAACTTCTATTAAAGTTCATCTACTATCCGTTAAACGTACTATTATGTAAACAAGAACAAAGCTTCGCGAAAACGGGAGCCTTCGATACGCGCTTTGGACACTGGGTCGCCGAGTGACGTGATAGTGATACCTTATAAAACCGGCGACGCACTGCAAATAATCGGGCAAGTGCTCCCAATCGTCGGCGTCGGCGTCGCAACGCAGGACGTAAGCGGCTTCAAAATGGCGGCGGATTAACAAAAATGTGTTTCTCGCCTCTTCGGGAGGCAGATGTTGGTGCAGGGGGCCGCTGAAAACCTTCAGAGCAGAGAGGACGAGGCGTTTTTCTGCCGCTCCCGCCTGCTCCTTTTTCAAAACGTGCCTCATCCATTTGACGAAGTGCTGAAACGAGTTTTCGATTGCTTTTGAGGAGGCGAAAACATATTATCACCGACCAGCAGCACGTCCGCATTGCTGGAGTGCTCCGCCACCGCGAACAGGTACGCCCTTAATGTCGCCTCGCCCGTTTTGACGTCCTCCGCCCCCAGCTCGAGCCAGTCGAGCAGACGCTTGTGCCAGACGATGTGCTTCGGTAACATTAAACCGATAAAGGTCGCCATGTTTGATTTTAAAAAATTGAGCGCGGCTAAAAATTAAAAAAAAAACAACAGCAAATGTAACAAACTTATTTTTGTATTACCCGTAGTAATGCAAACGAGATTGCTTTCGAAAAATCGTCGGTGGGCGGGGCAAATTCGGAGAGTGTAGCGCGGACCGGATTTTACTTTCAAAAAGAAGCCAATTCGGGGATTTTGTCCTCGAGGGACGCATTATCGTGGAATCGATGGAATTTAATTATGCATGCGCCCTGTATAAAGTGTCTTTCATGCCCCGCCGAACTTGAAAATTACGGCACACTACGTTAAATATTTAAATTTGTACAAATAATAGCGCCCTGTATAATTGACGAAACCTCAAACTCTCTCACGACACGGTTTACGATACTGTTCTAATCAAATTATCGCACCTTGTTTTTCATTTATCGCCAAAAATTTACCCGCAAAAACAGAAATTTTAAGGAACATTTAGATTTTCTGCCAATAATCGGCACACCCCGTATATATTTCGAACAATGTTCGAAAGAGGGGTGATAGCCTTGGATCTCTCACGTTTCCCGGCGTATGATGTTTTTCCAATAGAGTAAGTAGATTTCAAAAAAATACTTTGAAAATTTTTCAAAATTTTTTAAAAAATATTTGCTGATACTTGATTACGCTCAAATTCTACTGTTTAGATGTGGGTATGGACTTCTACTTCCTTGGCAAATTTAAAATCGTTAGCTACATATTTGGGTCACTGTTGACGTTTTTGAATATAGCACGGAATATCCCGAACACCATGTACAGTATGTGAAAACTTTAAATACAAAAGTTTTATCCGTCCATACGGGATGTACAGCTATGTAAAAAAAAAACTGGCAACGGAATCACAGCCTTCTTGTTATGGTCAATTATCATTACAAAGGGAGACCAATTTTCAGTTTTTTGCAAATTACCGACACACCCTGTACATGTATACCGAAAGAAAGAAAGAAAGATGGATGCCGGCGTCGGATCGATGCCATTTCTTACAAGCTTACATATCTCGTGAGGGGTTAAAAAGGAGGCATAGCTCCAACGGTTCGAAAGTCTTTTAGATTTTTGTCTATAATTGAAAAGCCCCGTACATAATCGAAAAAATGCTTAAAATAGAAGTAATATTACCGCATCTTCCGCGTTTTTTGGTGAAATTGTTTTGCCGATCAAGTTAATAGTTTTCCGGAAATTTTGTTTTTTCTGGAGGAAAAAATAACAAAAACAAAATTTTCAAGAATTAAAAAAAAAACTAGGCAAGTCTGTTTTTTATGGCAATATTATTAGCTCACCCCTGTTTCCGACTTTAATGCTGCCCTTGGGGACAGACAGGCAGCGAATGTGAGCATACAGCTTTTCGATGATCGTCTTGTCAGTCGAAAGACCAGCGTCTAAAGGAAAGCCCTCGCAGAAACATGCCAATGCCGTAAATATGGCGCATATGTTCCCTGGAGAATCCCTCCTTACCATCTCATTATCCAACTGCCGCACCAGGTAGTTTTTAATTAGGTCAGGTTCGGCAACTAGGTACGGGAACCTTTTGACAAAAACACCAATGGTAACGTGTTCCTTTTGCCTCACTACAAACGCCAATATGGTAAATGCAGGTAAGAAACTGAAGCCGCGGCCTACCGGTGGCAGGATGGTCTAACATCACAGCATTCTTAACGCTCTCGAATATGTTAAGGTAAGACTTTTGATGTTCGGCGCACACGTCGATTTTATCGAAGCTGACCAGAAGAACATCGTAGGCCCTTACTTTAACATTGGCGGCGACGTTCGTCTGTATGATCTTCAAGCATTTCTCGTTTACGTCGACAACGCGTTGACTGACTTTTTGGGGAAAGTTGTTGACGAGCGTGTGGACGATTTCCAGGCATTTTGTGGACGACGAATTGAATTCTTTGCGCGCGCCCACGTCCGCAACAAAATCCAGCAAACCGTAACTTTTATCGAACAAGTAAACGACGCAAGAATCTGGAATAAATCGTGCAACTCGCATTTAATAAACACCGGACCGTCTACCTATCGTCGTCGAAGAAAGCTGCTCTTCCGTTAAATTATGGTTAAGCGTGTTCAATAATCGTTGACATTCTTGGGGGCCGTCGATTTCGTCCGACGAGCGGTCTTTTAGGAGCCGACAAAAGTAAGGCAGTTCCACATCCATTTATGCATGTTACCAGGAAAAGCCGCGAAATCTTGTTTAATATCCACCACAGATCAAAACTGGGCTTAATTTAGTCTTTGCTATTGGCCCATCTGTCAGGATCGTTCGGCCAATTATATTGCAACAGAGCGAGCTTAATTTGCGGAAATTGTTTCGTGTAGTATCTTTAATGCTGCCTTCGGTTCACTCTGCTATATATAATTGGGCGTGATAGCTCAGGTTTCCAATCAATTTACGCTCGATGCGTCGTTAGACGGATGTTCTCGCATTCCAGGTCTCGATTTTAGGTCGAATGAAGTTTAACTGTTCACGATAAATGAAGGTCACTGCGTTATTACCGAAACGCTAGATAAATATGACGCGTAAAACGAATTTGCACTCGGACGTTGCTGTACTATATTTCATTTTTAATTGCGCACATCGGACTCGAGAATAAAAAGCCACAGATGTCGCGACTTCTGCGATTGTGACGGCGAATTGAGACCCGGGATTTTTAAGAAATACGTAATGCTGTTGAATTTTCCGATTAGAAATATATATAAAAGGGCTCTTCAATAATAATAACCTTATTGATTGTTTGATTATACCTAATTATTCTCTTAATCCTTATACTCCTAAATTTATTTGGGCGTGTTGTAACAATGCGCCGAAAAAATGCGACTAATATAAAAAAAAAAGTCGGATCGAACACAAACGACGATGGCGAACGCGTAGAGTCCACTTGATTCCCGTTCAATGAAATCCGAGTGTACTTCTCGTATTAAAGCGGTCTCCCAGTCAGCCCGATGTGTAGTTTACGCGTTAGTGCCTTAACGGCGAGAGGTCAAGTGCGAGCCTGGTGACGATGAATCCGTTATACGCGGTCGCCGTTTTATTGTTCGCTCCGAGCATCCCGGGTAAGCCCAAGAAAACAGCAAACGGAACATATTTTTGAAACGTGTTGCCAGACGCATTCGGTGAGAATTGCGACAAACTAGGCACGTTGATCTACGAAGATATCGGGTGCCGGCCGGGTTACGACGTCACCAAGCCGAATTATACGAAGCTGTGTCCCGTCAAATACGACTGCCTGGGTTTGAAGAAATCACCGGGAAACTGTTTCCTCCGGGGTAAGGCGTACGCCGTCGGAGACCACGTAGAATCGCGTCTGACCACTCCTACTTGCGACTTGGGATGCTCGTGCAGTAACGAGAAAGATAAGTATGTCGTCGGGAAGTTTTTGCATCCAACATTCATAACCGCAGTAGGTTGTTACCCGCAAATATTAGGGGGTGACGTCACTGGTCGACCTAGTTTCGAAAAATTGAAATCGATTCTTTTCGAAAGCGTACGCACTCCTCACTGAACAGCGTAGCCGTTGGTACAGATGGAATCAGCACCGAAACAAAAACATTTTTTTTGTCTGTCCGTCCCCCGTTCTCTGTTCCACGGTTTTTCGACGAAAACTTCCGAACGGTTTGAGCTACACGCTTCAAATTTTGCTCCTTTTTAAACGTCCACGATATGCGAAAATGGCCACGTTCAAGCTTCGGCGTCCATCTTTTTTTTTATTTTCGACTGTTTTTTGGATGTCGTTATGGAACACGATAAGTGTCCGAAATTTGAAGCTATGGACTTCAAATTTGGCAGGCGAATAGCGCTTGGTGCCGGAACATAGGGTTGGGGGGTCGGGAAGTACTTTAAAAAAATTAAAAACTGCGTTTGCAAGGATCTAAGGAAAGGATCATTTCTCGAAAACTGCAATTACGTACAAGTATTTAAAAAATTTTTTTTTTTGGTTATTTTGGCTTTCAGAAAACAATGTTTTTCTCCATAACCATTCACCCGATCCGCAAAATTCTTTAACTGGCAGACGCGGAGGATCCAGTGCTATAATATTTATTTCAAGCATTTTTTCGATTATATACAGGGTTTTTAAATTATAGGCAAAAGTCTAAAAAACTTTGAAAAATGTTCTTTTCCAGAGTAAATTATTAACCGCAAATCAAAAATCGTAAATAATACGGCTAATCGATTCAAACAGTGTCATAGGCCGCACCAGGAGCAGCGATTTTTGTATTTACGGTTTTCGTCTAACGCATACGCTGTTCGAAATATTTGCAAAAAATCAAAATGAAAATCACCATTGCTCGCGCTCAATCTAGACGCGATGACGTCATTTACTATTACGAAGTACTGTATGGCTTCAGAAAACAAGTATTTTCTCGATAACCGTTACTCTGTTAGAAAAATTTATATACCAGGATATCACCTCTATCTTGTACATTGTTTGAATTATATACAGGCTGTGTCGTTTACGGGAAAAAAATCTAAAAGATCCTAAAAATTGCCGTTTTCGTGGATGAATTATTAACCTTAAATGAAAAACAATAAAACATGGGATAATTCAATTTAAACAGTGTCGTAAATTGTATCGAGGGAGAGTTTCAGGTTTAGTGAAACATACAGGGTGCGCGAATATTTGATAAAATATCATTCTAATTCAAAAATTATTTGTAAAAATTTTAACATTTATCAAAGTTTGTCTTAACTTTGAAGTTCGGCGGGCGACGTGACACTTTATACAGGGTGTATGCACAATAAAATTTCATCGATTTTGCGAAAGTTCCAAACCGCATATCATGGCTTCTTATTTATCTCCATAACAGTAATTTTAAATTGAAAGAATTTAAGTTTTCTTAACATCCAAAGTATGTATTCCTGTTTTAATTCCTTGCGACGAAAGCTCTCAGGATTATGAGACGGTTTTACTTTTAACAATCCTTTATTCAATTCAATGATGCGTTTCACAGATAGCTGTTGGGCACGACTACCAGGATCATTCGCCCAAACAATCCTTTATTATTTATTTTGAACAAAATCTTCCGACCACTCTTCCTCGATCTACAAATTGGACACATTTAGGGCACTGGGCCAAACAACAAATTCCATTGTTTTTCCAAAAATGGGCAAGATTTAGAATGTAAAACGATACAAAACGTCAGATACATATATGTAATCAAGAATGTTTTCATTTTAATCTTGACGGACCGGACGATATTTTTATGTTTTCAATTATATTAGATATTCGACTAGACGTTAAATGTCTCGCTAATATTTCCATGAAATACAAATAACGATTGAGTTCGTCAAAAAATAAATATATTTTATGAATCACTGTGGACGTTCATGTAATAAAATGATATCGTTTAACTATTATAATATATGAACATTTTATTTACCAGATAATGGAATAATACAAGTGCAAAATAAACACACAGGGAAGATGTACTTGGTAAAGGGCAGATTTTAGGCTAACGTCCATTGTACTCGAAACAATAATTTTCTTTTTAACAATAACAACGTCCTTTTGAGGCTTCCTTAAAATTTCAGACTCAGATTTGTTGAAGCTCTTTGTGTTTAGGCAATTGTGCTTAGGGCAAACCATTGTCTTTACGGATCTTTACATTTTTAGAGCAAAGTTCAAGTGCGCTGCAGTAGACTGTCCAGAGTGGTCCGTCGACTATCCGTCCGCCGGCTGTTACAGGAAATACACTTTGGACGACTGCTGTTCCGTCCGCGAAATGTGCTGTAAGTATATGCAGCTACTACATACGTAGCCTACTATGATTCATCAAATATCATGTGCATTATCGGAAAAAAACTTCGTAGTTCTTTGAAGTGTAACAATTTTACTGCATTTACGACCTCTACCCATAGATGCGACCCAACTATGGACATAGAGACGTTTCCAAAATTTCAATTTTATTAGCTGAAAGTTCTTATAATGTTTAATTTGATTTCAAATGGACACGAATTGAATAAATAAACAATGTTCAAAAAAAGAATGCACCAGCGAGCCCGTTTTCTATAGTCTGTGAAGTACCTACTGTGCAACTATTAAATCCGGGCGCGTAATTAAACAGAAAGTTAAACAAATTACCATTGAAATAAAACGCTCGCCAACGGTCACCTTCTCGTATTTGACAGCACTTTCTTGTTGCTTTATGCGCAGCCGACGAAAAAAACCGGCCCTGCCGCGCGAAAGTCACGTGACTCTAATAGGTCCAGCAATTTCAGTCAGTCCGGCTGCGATCCGGGAAAACATGTATGTTTATCTAGGTTACCGGCGTATTAAATTGTTTAAAACTCGGTTTTCTCATTGTTTTCTTTTGCGTCAGTAATAACTGGAATGTTTGTGTGTTTGTAGGGTACACCGCCGTATTTTAAACTTTGAAACTCGGTTTTTAACTGTATTTTTTGTGTTATCAATAACTAATATATAACAACAACAATTGATACTAATACAATAAATAATACCTGACTCTAAAATAAGTTTCCAAATACTTTTAGATAACTAATATTAAAGGAAACCATTTTATTTCAATGTAGCCTATTTCAATCCTGGATCTATTAGGGTCACGTGACCACCGATACCGGCAATGCGCGCCCGGGCCTCTATTTTTCGTCCGCTGTGCTTTATGTTGGTACTCTGTGGCTCACTCTAGCGGGGTCGGGATTCGTTTTTGGGCGGAAAGATGGCGGCGAGGGTGTTAATTTGTTACTTGTTACACTACAATGGGCTTTGGAGCGCGGGAAACCGTTTTTTGCTATCGGTCAAAGTACCTTTTTTTTAACAAACCTTACGAAGGCATCCTTTAAGAATTCCGAATGAACTTTTGTGATTGTGAGCATTAGAAGTAAAAGAAGAAGAACCTGTACGTATTTTTCTTTGGAATCGGCGATCTCTACACAGTTAATTCTTTTTAATTTGGAAAATTGAATCGGATTTTAGCATATTAATGAAACACTGCCAACGAAATGCCATGTCCGACCCTAAAACCATTGGTTCGATCGAAATGATAGGTTTAAAACGAGATTTTGAAATGACTTTTAAAAGTGCCTTAAAAGTGTGTTATACTATCGAATTTGTAGCGCCGTACGATAACTCGACGACCTGCGTCTACGAGGGCAGGTTGTACAAAGAGGGCGAGAGTTTTCTGCCGCGCGGCACTTGCTGGCGGTGTGTGTGCCAGGCGGGTTTTAGGGGTAAATTGGAGAAGCCGTTTTGTCGGAGACGAACCTGCAACGTGCAGATCAAGAGCCAGGACAAGCTGCAGGAGAGGTGCGCGCCCGTGTATTACAAGAGCAAGTACAGGAACGACGACCCGCTGTGCTGTCCGGCGACGTGGATCTGCAGTGAGTAGTGATATCTCATATCTCAGAAACCGTTAGTCCTACAAGTTAGAAAAAAAAGTTATAGGTAAATCCGTCAAGAGAATAGACTGGAAATTGTTTAAGGTCATAAAATGCCCGCCAGGGGGCGTAACCTCTAGAGTAAAATATAAAAATTAACCTATATCAAAGTTAGTTTTAGTGAAATCTACTCTAGACAAGGAAACTTTTTTGTTTGAATTTTTTTCTGTCTCGTCAAATTAATTGGGTGATAAGGGGGGGCGGGGCATCAATCATATATATCAAATATTGATTGACGAACTTTGTTTGGTCTTAGAGTATTTATAGGAGATTCGACTGGCATGCCAATATCACGATATAATTCTTTTGCGAGTCGGTAGGAGGCGCTTCATGCCAAAAACAGCTATTTTTATGATTTTCTGGAAATTTTCAAATATAATGGGTCCAATATTTTTAGCTAGAAAATAAATAAGAACTAAAAGTTCAGATTTTCACGAAATTATATATTTTTACATGACAATTGTTTCGACAACAACGTGTCTTTATCAAATGTAATATTTACAGAATGTAATGTTTAGCTATTATATATACCGAAAAATGACCATAAAACCTTAATTAATGTTGTGAGAATTTAAGTTCAACAAAGGAGAGGTATTTAAATCTAATTGATCGTTAAGCAATACATTTCAATGTCTCATTTTGTTAATCTCCATGGCTTCCAATAAATTTAATTTTCTACCTTTTGTGGCTGTATGTAAAATATCAAAATTGTCGTCAAAAATGTGTTAAATATTACATTTGATAAAGACACGGTGTTGTCGAAACAATTGTCATGTGAATATATATAATTTCGTGAAAATCTGAACTTTTGGTTCTTATTTATTTTACTTAAGGTGTTAATTGATTGTTTGTCTCTTTCAGGTGACGGCGACGAAAAAATTATCGGACGCCCGGTATCGGGTAGGTATGGTATATGAATTGGTATATCAATTGCCGCTTGTTTTTTGGACAGAGAGAAAATGCGTCTTCGGACAGCGAACGGTGGGGGCGGGCCAAACCCTCGGGAAGACCGTGAGGGCTTCGCGGGGCTTCTTGAACGTCACGTGCGAGTGCAGGATCCCGCCCCTGCTCACCTGCCTCACCCACGTGGTCTGACGCGAGACGTCGCCCCGGATTTATTTATTTATTTATTTTATTTATTCGCCTTGCTGCAGGTACCAATAATACACGGATGAAACGAAATGGTCTTTTTAAATAATTGCGCTCGAATCGCTTAATATGCTATACAGGGTTTTTCCTAATCGAATGAGACTGCCTTATGTTTTCATCATGCATTTTTCCTATTATTTGCTGACGATGAATTCTATGTGAGAGTCCAAAATGCTGATGACTGTATAAAGCTCCAATCCGATTTAGGCCACGTATCGCTATGGCGCGATTTTAATAGGATGGAAATTATGAACTTCAACCGGAGCATAATACTTATAACATAAAAGGGTCACCGTTAGTGCAGGATCACTTCAGATTTTGGGCTTTTCTAAGCGTTGTAGAGTGGACTTCCAGAGTATTCCGTCTACTTACAGGCCATAGAAAGAGTGCAGCATTTGTTTTACGAATGCAGTCGAAACTCTATATAGCGAAATTGATGGGACTACCTTTTTTTTTCGTTCATTTCCTTTTGAATTTTTTTAGTATGCCAATACGCATCTCGTACTTTGGCTTGAATTTTCAACATTTCTTCTAGAGGGGCATTTTCCGCATGATGCAAAAAGAGTTCTCTAGCAGCGCCAAAAAGTGAGGTTATGGGGTCCCTGGAAGTCCCTTTATCCATCTACTTAACTGAATGGTTGTTGGTGGTCCCAGATCAACTTCTTCATCTTCTTCTTCCTCTTGGTGCGGCCTATCACACCGTTTGAACCAATTAGCCATATTTTGTACGACTTTTGATTTGCGGCTAATAATTTACTTTGTAAAAAAACCATTTTCTAATTCTTTTAGATTTTTGCCTATAATTTGAAAACCCTGTATATAATCGAAAAAATCCCGAAATAAATGTTATTGCACTGGATCTTCTGCGGCTGCCGGTTAAAGAATTTTGCCGATCGGATAAACGATTATGGACGAAAACATTTTTCTGGAAGCTAAAATTAATTAAATTAAAATTAAAAATTTCATCGATTTTCGAATGTAACGAGAGTAGATGCAAACAGAACTCTACAAATGATAACAATTGAAATGAATATATTAAGAACTATACGGAGTAAAACTTTGTATGACAGAATACGGAATGAGGACATCAGACAGCACCGCGGAATATAAGACATAGGAAGGTGGGTGAGGCAAAGACAAAGATTTTGGAACAAACACATAAAAAGAATGGAAGATGGCGAACTCGAACGCAAAAATGAACAACCCAGTGGGGAAAAGATCTCAAGCAAGACCGCCAAAACGATGGCGAGGATGCGGGACCTCGTCTTCCGCGGAATACTTGTTGTCAATGAATAGGCAGAACAGACAAGAACCGCTTGGTTCCAATAATTTTGGTTATATTAACGTGTTAGTACGTGTCATACAGGGTTCTTTAGACCATTTGTATTAGTTTAGCGACCAAGTAATAGATGGCGCTTCCCATGAAGTGACGTTCCCCCCCTGCGACAATAAACAGAACACGATTTCCGAGCACACCAGAAATGAGTAGTAATGTTTTAGTTGTACACTGTAATTAATAAATAATACTTTAATAATGTGTGCTTTACTGTTACGAATATAAAATAAAACACTATGCACCTGTGTCAACAACATTTCCTCTGTTTTTGACGAAAAAAGAACGCTCTTCTTAAAAGGAATTTATTGACAGATAAAAACAACTTTATCACTATACACATTACGTCTAAAATATGTTAAGCGACTGAAAAAGAGCGACAAATCAAATTTAATCGCTGATAAAATAACGATATAAGTATAAACCTTTCGATATGGTTAAAATATAGTTTCAGATACAATAACTCGCTACCTACAAATAGATTCAACAAAATCACAATTAATGACTCATATTTAATCATCCACGGTTGATAGAATTTGCCGAAAATTTATTCACGTGGGGTTTCAACTGTCGCGGTGTTGCCGCGTGTATCGTAAAGTACCTTGAACTTTGATTTTTTCCTGATAATAATAATATTGAAAATGTTCCGCGGGATTCGAACTTGAAAGAAAATAAAGAAAGCAAATCGAGTTTGAAAAAGTTCTCTTGGTTCGTTCACCGAAAACACTCAACATCCGTCACCTGTGTCAATTGGAAATAGAAATAAATATTTTCGTCATTTAAAACTGCAGTTACAGTAATTTAAAATAAATTTAAGCAGTCACGCGATAAGAATACAATAAAATTAATCATTTGAAGAGAAAAAAAAAACTTGCCCGCAATCGGATTTGAACCCGGGACTTTCCGGGTAATTAGCACGGCGGTGACTTCTGAAGAATTTTTTTTATATCTGTGCAAGGTGGAAATAAGAACTTAGATGAGGAATGGGGAAAGGTTTTACAATAGGGTCGAAAATCTACGTGAACAGATTTTCTGCAATTTTCTACGTTCCATCAACCGTGAGAAATTCTGCGTATTACCTAAAACAATCGTAAAAACTATTAGAAAACGAAAATGATATTAAATTAAGTGCTACCCTAGCAAATTCAGAGAACTCCGCGTTTTTCTCAGCTGAGCCCTCCACGGGATAATCCTGGACTCATCGTCCGAATCCCTCTCGGCATTCGAGCCTCTGGTCTGATCCATCTTGATGACGTCATCGTCGTTGTTGTTGTTTTCGTCTCCCAATGTTGCCTTGGCGTCTGACTGTCCACCGGAGTAGTTTTCTTGCGTCAGCTTGGTGATTTTGGGCTCGTCCACCACTCGCGGCGTGTAAATCGTTTGCCTGCATATAATCGTTATTATATTTGCGAGCTCATTTCGTCAGATTATCAGGGAAACATGTTATCAGTATCGACTCAAATTGGTGTGAAAAAACTTAAAAATAACTGAAGCTAGCAAGAGAAAATTCCGGAGATTATTCAACAAAAAAAAAACACAACGCAAACACAAAGAGCTTTTACTTGATAAAAATCCATTTATCAAAATAAATACGAACTAAAAGTTCAGATTTTCATCGAAATTGTATATTTTACATTTTAGATTGTTTGAAATAATTTAAAAAAAAATACAATGAGAATGTTTTAAAAATTTTCGCAATTTGAACAATTCTTTTTAGGAAATTCTTTTTTAGCCTGAACAAGCCAATATTTTATAATATAAAATCACTTATCAGTAGCCTCCCTTTCTTGCAGTTTGATTGAATCCAAAAATAATGGAAAATCACATTGGAGAACTATATTTCCCAGGTAATATCAATACAGTGTGTCCAAGATAAGGATGCACAGCATGGGGATCTCGGAAACTATAAGAGATACAGTGTCGGTTAAATTAGACAAAAGTTGCGCATTTTGATACCGAACAAGATCCCGTTTTACAAATTTGAAAATTCCAAGCCGTTCCGGAAATATCCGAGAAAAACCGAAATATTGCGATTTCGTTTTTATTATTTTTTAAAGCTATTTGAAAAGATATGAAAAAACGGAAAACACTTTTCCATTGGCACTTTTTAATCTCTCCAAATTGACGTTAACAAATTTTAATTACAGCGTTTCGATTCCATGGAACCACCATCAACTTTGATTTTTCTTATGGGACGGAAAAAAAGTACACACAGTATTAGGTTGTGCTTTTCATTGCGAATTCAACGATGTACGATACAATACGGTTACTTATGTTTTTATCCAGAAAAATGGATTTTTAATACATTTCAGCATTTAAATGGAGTAGGCCATGACAAAATGACATCCAGTCAATTTCAATGACACATTAATGTTATTTGTCTTTGTTATCAGTCGATCATAAGTTTATTCCTTTAGTTATTGTTTTTGTATTTTTATTGTTGTTGTCTTTTTCTAATTTATTTTGTTCTACAATGGAGGGAGGTAATTTTACAAACGAAGAAAAATGTGATATGCTGTCTTGCTACATCTGATGCCAAAGAAATTGTGTGGAAGCCGAGCGTATGTATTCTAACAAATACCCAGAGCGGAGACAACCTGACAAGAGTATTTTTCGGCGTTTGTTATTTAATCTGAAAGAATATGGATCATTTAAGAAGCCCGCATTATCCCGACAAAAACCTTCCAATGAAGAAAACCAATACATTGTTCTACAATCTGTTATCGAAAATCCACAAACTTCTACCAGAGAAATTGAAGACCAGAATGGGGTAGCTAAATCTACAGCTCAGTTTATTTTAAGGAAAAATGAATTTAAGCTTTACAAATTCAGAATATGTCAAGGATTAAAACCGGGTGACGACGAACGACGTAGACATTTTTGTGAGTGGTATACCAGGATGTGTGGTGAGAGTTTTAATTTTCCATATAAAGTGATTTGGTCTGATGAAAGTATGGTGACCAATAACGGTATTTATAACAGGCGCAATACACACTATTGGTCGCAACAAAATCCACGTGTTAATAGACTATCCAGACATCAAGTTCGCTTTGGGTTTAATATTTGGTGTGGGATTTTTGGTAGCAAGATTATAGGCCCTATTTTCTATAATAATTCCTTAACTTCCGAGCGATACCTTGACATCTTGAGGCACGATTTAGAAGATGCCTTAGATGATTTACCGCTAGGCGCTGTGCAAGGCTGCTGGTTCCAACAAGATGGTGCCCCAGCCCATAACTCCAGAGAAGTTCGCCAATATTTAACTGAACGGTTTGATGGAAAATACATTGGGACTTACAGTGAAACACCTTGGCCTCCAAGGTCCCCGGACTTAACTCCCTTGGACTTTTTCTTATGGGGCTACATAAAAAATGAGGTATTCAAAGAATGTTTTGACAACGAGGAACAATTACGTCAATCAGTACGAGCAGCGTTTAATAAAATTACTCCTGAAATGTTAAGTCGGGCGTACTTATGCCTAGAAAATGGAGGTCATTTATTCGAACATTTGTTATAGAATTTGTTTTTCATTAACTTGTTGGATTTAGTTGTTATGTTAAATGAACAGTTAGAGTTAGTAAATAAATAAACACATTAACTCGAACTTGTCAACCATTTTCTTTTGCCTTTCATCGTTCGGATCTCATGGCCTACTACAATAAAATACTAGAAATGTATTAAAAAGCCATTTTTCTGGATAAAAACATAAGTAACCGTATTGTATCGTACATCGTTGAATTCGCAATGAAAAGCACAACCTAATACTGTATGTACTTTTTTTCCGTCCCATAAGAAAAATCAAAGTTGATGGTGGTTCCATGGAATCGAAACGCTGTAATGAAAATTTGTTAACGTCAATTTGGAGAGATTAAAAAGTGCCAATGGAAAAGTGTTTTCCGTTTTTTCATATCTTTTCAAATAGCTTTAAAAAATAATAAAAACGAAATCGCAATATTTCGGTTTTTCTCGGATATTTCCGGAACGGCTTGGAATTTTCAAATTTGTAAAACGGGATCTTGTTCGGTATCAAAATGCGCAACTTTTGTCTAATTTAACCGACACTGTATCTCTTATAGTTTCCGAGATCCCCATGCTGTGCATCCTTATCTTGGACACACTGTATATTAAGATTTTAAAATTTTTATTTTTGTCTAGTAGTAGCTACTAGCCGTGTTTTGAAAATGAATTGATAAAATTTGAAAAAAGTCTAGTTTTAAAGTCGTTTTATGTGTAATCATGAAAAGTAGCGTAGAAAGACAAATTTCTGTGTTCTTCTTTTTCTTTATTTCTATGGCCGGGAGTACAAGGATCATTCGGCCCTCCTACCTGATTTGCTTTTCCGTCTCCTCTTTTTTGGCCAGCAGTTGCCTCTTCCACGGTGGTATCGACTGCAGCCGCTTCTCTTCCGCTTCGCGCTGTAACTGGTCTTCCATTTCTTTGCGAGCTTTTTCCGCGGCTTTCTTCGCCAACATTTGCCGTTTCCAAGCCGGAATTAGGTTACCCGTGTTGTCTTTGTCAGGAATCTGTAAACCGTTCGTAGCAAATGACATGGAATTGTTGAACCAACGACAGATAAAACTGGTTAAATTGTGTTGACTATCGTATTGGAGGGTTGTTTAATAAATGTCTACCAGTGCTACTTCCACAGACTACTAGAATACTTTTTACAATTCCTTCTGCGTCGGTTTTTGTTGGCTAGCTAACGTTTCGCCAATCATCCCGTTGGCTTCTCAGTTTCAGTCCAGCTCTGAAGAAGCCAACAGGATGATAGGCGAAAAAAACCGATAGGCAACAAAAACCGAACTTGCATTCTAACCTCACAAAACCGCAGAATAATGACGCCACAGACCACCAAAACCCCGATGCGATGATTTCGAGATGTTCTTTTTGCATTTTGGCCTTTTCATTAATGCGTTTTGGTGTTGTGACCATAACCAGGTTGACATGTATAAAAATTATACGAGTTTACAACAATTATACCAGTTTACAGAAGGAAGGAAGGAAGCAATGGTATATTGATTGTGCTCAACTGCTTTTTTTTTTAGTTATAAAAGGCATTTGTTTTATAATGTGGCGGAGTGGTATACGTACGAAGTAGAAAGAAGAAACGGTAAACATTTTCTGTGTGTGATGGCGATTTGAGTTATTAATTATTACTGCGTCCGTGTATGAAGGTTCATGGTAAATGAAAGAATCTAATGCGTTCTGTAATTTAAATGTAAAAGGTATAGTTATCTAGTTCCGTCTCTATGGTAAATTTTATAAGGTTATGGATGTTAAGGACTGTAGTTGAAACACCCAAACACACCATCCACCAACCAAAAATTTTGCTTAGAGTACCGGTAACGTACCTTCTCGACGAACGTCGCTGCAGTGAACTGCTTCGAGATCTCCACGTAAAGTTCTTTCTCTTTGACCTCGTTCGTCTTCGCCTTTTCGATTTTCATTTTCTTGATTCCCGTAATGTCCTTCGACATTTTGAGTTCGGCGATCAGGTCCGTTTTTTGAGCCATGAACGACTCGGTGGTCGAGGACAAACACTGGAGGCTCACGCTACGCGTCGGCGCAGAAAACGTCTGCGAACAATGTTTATTTTCCTTGGTAGAAATTGCAATAATAATAACTCAGAGTGTTTTCTCATTTTTGGGTGCATTTTGGAAAGAAAACTTCATATAAACATAAACCAAAATCAACCAAAACTAAACATATGTGCTAAACGTCTTAACTTTTGAGATACATGGTGGTAAAGTTTGCAAAAATACTTTTTTTTAAATATCTGCAATACCACTTTACGCCACTGATTTATCTGAATATAAAAATTATTCTTACCATCTCCAATCATTTAACAATTAATTTTAATTTAATGTAATAATAATAATAATAATATCACACCATGGTTTTAATTAATATTTACAATTTCGTTAAGTACCCACTTAATTATATAACATAAAGAAAAACCTCGGGGCTAAAATACTAAAATAATAAATCCTAATAATTATAATAATAAAAACTAACCAAAACTAACCAAATTTTTAACGAATTCTAGCAGTGCACAGTGGTTTGATTCTTCTTCTTCTTCTTCTTTTAAATTTCATAACTAACCACGTTTTTGTTTATTTGGAAAATAGTTTATTGTCGCATTCTGAACGAAATGGGGCAGGTCCTTAAACGCTTTTAGGAACCCATCTTGCACTAACCTCGTGCATACCTAAATGGTCGTGCAGGATTCGACGAACACTTGTATCAGAGAGCTTAGTAATTTCTGAGATTTCCTTGACCTTTAAACGTCGATCGCTCAAGACAAAGTTTTATCGTGATACTGGAGCTGCATCTATGTCAGGCCGGGCAGTTTTGGCGCTAACCTCGTATACGACATCACAGTGACAAACGCGGATAGAACAAGGGCATCGCATAATGTTTTTTTAAGATTTCGAGTTAGAATATGCCTTAAAAGGCCCTTTAAAAGGCCAATAGCTCTTTGCTTACAAGTCTCGCCTCGTTTTGAAGTGGCAGTGCTTTTACTTCAAAAGCAAGATCCACCGGCCGACCAAAAAACATTACAGAAGATTTTTTTGGGTTTAAAAACAAACCGTGGTCTGTGGAAATTCTGTCAATTCGTTCAAGGTCACTGTTGATATTTTGCCACTGAAGCTGCAACCGAGAGGGTACCAAAACATTGTGGAGCTGCTTGTCATCAGCATACGATTGTCCTTTGCAATACTGGCGAAATATCTATGAATTTTGTTGGGAAAATAATAAACAGAACAGGAGCTAAAATTGAGCCCCGAGGAACTCCGCATCTTATAGCTTTTAATTAAAGTTAATTTCTAAAGAATTTTAATTTCTTGATTTTTTTCAATCCGCTGTACTGTGGTTTTCCCTTAAAAAAATTAAAACCTCTTCTCTGCATAACAACAACAAATTTTGTTAAAATATCTGAAGTGATATTACAGATATTAAAAAAATATATTTTATTTTTGAAAACTGTGCCACCACTCACAACTTAAGTGGTTTAGAACATCCGAAATTTTCATTCCAAAACGGCCTCATGGTCGGTCATAAAACGGAGAGAGATGGTGTCTCAGTATTTTACCTGTTTTCACCCTACATTCAATTGTTTTTCTGTTTTCAATCAGCGGCAAAAAATGCTACTAGTCTACTAATTTAACCGACTGATGAACACCTAATTTAACTCGGCGTGTATAAAGTGATACCTGGTAGGAACGGCTTTTCCTTTAACTATTTGCATTCGTTTGCATCAACTATACTTTGATAAAGTCTGTTCATAGGGTATAAGGACTAGTAGAATAGAAATGGAACAATGGTTGTGGCTTGTGGGGACGTTACCTTGGAAGCGACCATCTTGTCGGTCCTGCGCAGTTGTACCGAGTTGAGGTCCTGGATGCTGATCGCGGATAGGGGTTGTTTTTTGCTCCGTTCCGCTTGGTGATGCTCCATCGCGTTCGGTTTGTGGTTGGCGGTTTGCGTCAAATCACCTACGCATTTCCTTTGACGAAAAATGCTCGCGAGATACGAGGTGCGTTCAAAAAGTAAGTTTTGTCATAAAGTATTTATTTATTCATCAAAATTAAACTTCAAACTAACCCCCCCCCCCAGATGCGAAAATGTTCTTTCCAATCTTCGAAGCAGTTTCTGGTATAGCCCCCTTTCTTTCATGGGTTTCTTGAGTTTTGGGAACAGGAAAAAGTCGCGGTGGCCCATATTCGGTGGTATTGTGGTTTTGTTTTTGGCCAAAATTTAGAAACAAGCAACGATGAGTGAGCGTGATGCACGAATCATACTCTACCACCTTGTGGTAAGAATTCTTGATGTATTACGTCACGATGATCAAAGAAAACAGCAAGCAAAACCTTGACATTTGATCGAACTTCACGTTCACTAGTTATGACCTTTTTGAGCATATCAAGACGCTGTTTAACAGCTCCTGAGCGATGCTCTTTCGACGGTCCTTTTCTTCAAAATTAAGTAGTTTCGGAACAAATATGACTGCTACACGTTTCATGTACTTATATCGCGCTTGTCATGTTACGTGTAGGCAAAGTTAATCAGAAGAGCACTATATTTCTGGTCGAAGTATACCAACATAACAAAAATATATATCGAAGATCGAATGTCACCTTACTTTTTGAACGCGCCCCGTACAACATTAAATTCTACCATTAAACTCGGGAAGGGGCGGCGGCGGCGGTCCCGAACCGCCACCGCTATCGTCTTTTTTCCCGGCCCTGTCCGACCCCTCGACGTCCGCTTGGATGGCGGTCTGATAGGCCGGTTCCAAGGAAGTCGTTTCGGTACGTTTCTCCGTGCTGATACTCCTCAGATACTCGGAGGGTTTGATGAGGCGGTTCGGGTCAGCGGACGGGAAGCTAGGCGGCACGAAGGGCAGCACGCGCTGGCGGTTGCAGGGGGCGGCGACGATAGACCTCGCGGGACCGTCTTCAGCTGCTAGCGTGACCGAAGTCAAGTCGGAGCAGGACGCGTTTAGACGTCGAGAGGCTGTAAAAAGACGGATGATATCCCGGAATATAGTGTCAGCACATTTTTCCATCCGTGAATCAATACGTGAAAAAAAAAAAAAAAAAAAAAAAAAAAAAAAAAAAATATATATATATATATATATATATATATATATATATATATATATATATATATATATATATATATATATATATATATATATATATATATATATATATATATATATATATATATATATATATATATATATATATATATATATATATATATATATATATATATATATATATATATATATATATATATATATATATATATATATATATATATATATATATATATATACAGCTGTTACCATTTTTCAAGTCGTATCTTATTATCTCGGATAATAACCGAGTATCGCACGAGGATGCATGGAAAATGAAACACCTTGTATATTAAATCGCCAGGCACTCGAGTAAACACGACCACACGGTTTTCGTTCAAGTCGATCCGCGAAACTGATTCTTCGCGATATCGTACCAGAAGCAAAAGCATAACGATATTCGGACCGCGCCAGTGGCGGCGGAGAATCCGTATCCAGAGGGGGCGACTATTTCCGTCTAGAATAAAATCGCCACAGAGTCTCCATTCTGTTTAATTAGCCAACGGAAAACCTAAACGGCTCGGAGGAGGGGCGCCTACAACTGGACTGTGACTGCATATTTTTATGGCATTCGGCATGGTTGTGCGTGCGAATTTAGACCAATTATAACGAAAAAGTTTAATTAAAGAGAAACGGAATCGAAACGCGAAAACGGAAACTTGGCCCGTTGGACATCTGCTCTCGGATAACGATTTTAAACGGCAACCGATAAAGGTTTTTACGACAATTTAGCGAAAACTATAACCGACGTACTTAATTATGGTCCCATATGGCGCACTCGTTGGGGAAACGCTCGGTATGATTTCTCCGAAGGTACAACAGACAATGCAACGCCTCAATTAATCCATTACGCTACAATAATAATAATAAATTGCCTTTATTGTTGTTTATTGTTATATACAAATTTACGGTAGCGAAGAGGCGAGCAAAAGCTACAACAGTTATCCCCTTAAATATTCAAATTGAAAACTAAATAGGAACTTATAAATACATTGATAAATTAAATATAGTATAATAATAAATAAAATAAAAAGAATAACATTGAAAGTCAAATTATTTGAGAAGTTAGCAGTTTCAACCTGAAATATTTCTTGAAGAATTTAATTGAATGTGATCTAAGTCTACAATCAAATATAACACCGAGGTTTTTATTACAATTTTATCTACCTGTTCTGTGGTGTGCGATAACCGAAGAAGCAAGCTACTTTAAAAGAGCCAAAGCCAAATAGGTAAAAATTTCAGAGAATTTTGGTTAATATTGTATGACGTATTTATGAAGAAGTGGTACGCCACTGATATTTTTCCCAGGTACTTCTAGGCAAAAGTTTCCTTTTGCACTTATCTCGATTAAAATGTCAAATTAAAAGTGCGTTTACCGTCCTTTTTGGAAGATACAAATTTAAGTAGCCAAAAGAGTTGTTCATATGAAGTGTGTTTTCCTTAAAATCGTATCAAGGATCAGAAGGAATACCGGAACTTGAAAGTGGGCAAAAGACATTGACAAGAACAAAAGAAAACGATATTCGGTTTTTTAAAAGTCACATAAAAAAGGGTCATTAAAAATGCCCATCCCCATGCTCCTTCAGTAAGGTTCCCCAAAATATATTTTTTCTTATTATTTCCGAAACGGTTTGGGACAAATTTACTGCTGACAAAATGTATTTTCAAACTGTATAGTATTCTTATTTTTGTAGATGTCTCTCGGGCAATCATGATGCCCTGAGTTCGCCCCCACGTATACAATTCTATTAATTAATTCAGCATTACTCGCTAAAAGATTGAATTATACTAAAACCAGTATTTTTTTTAACTTTGCAGCTTACCTTTTTCGAAAAACTATTTAAAAATATTTTTGCCGAAAAATTAAAAATATTCACCCAAAAAAAAGGTTTAAATCGGCGCGAACTTCTATGATGCAATCAAAACTATTTTGCGGTCTAAATTTGATTCAGGTATTTTACACTGTTTCAGAGATAATAAAACACCCCGTATCTTCTGATGTAAGGGTTTTCGGACACGTGTTACTCACGTTAGTTTTTAATATTCTATGAACCCCAGAATTTAGTGAAGCATTTTTTGAATCACCTTGTAGAATTACCGTTAAAAACCGCCACAAATTTCCTTTCCCGTAGCCTAAAAACTGTCCAAGGCTATGCCTGTCTATTTCTGGTGCTTATAGTCAAGTTTCTGTGACTTTAAACCCCTTTCTCTTACAATTAGACTCTCCGGTATAGTATGTCGCAAAGTATATCGTCTTGTCTTTTAACTGGCCCCCAAAAAGAACCCTCATACGGTATTACCGTGGATTTCGGAAAAGCTTCTTATTATTACTAATACGGTTTTATTGTAGAGGGTGCACAATAACGCGAATTTCGAACATGAAAATTGATGGCGTTATTGGTTTTTTGGCTTTTTTTGAAAACTAAAATATTGGAAAAACTATTAGGTTTGAGTATTTATAAAGAAGCTTTAAAAAAATACGCAAAAAAAAACTTCTGTATTTACCCACGATAGATACGTCAAACACCAAAACGATATACTTTGACATAGACCATACCGTGTTACTTACATAAGGCGGACATGCTCCTGCACATACCCTTAACGATATCCGACGGTTTCAGGGTGGGTTCCTCCACTACTTCGACGATTTCGGGGGCCCTCTGCGCCGGTAAGTCGGGTTGCGGGGGCGGCGGCGGCGGGGGAGGGCCGATTTCGACCGGCACCGAACTGACCTGACGTCGCCATTAAATGGGTCAATGCCCGCTTCTCCAGGAGTTTTTTTTATATTTTGTAACTCACCCGTTTCAGCGCTTTATTGTTGTTGTGTGTAGGGGGGGCGGGAAGAGTGTGGCTGGGGTTGTACGTCGTTTTGTCCGGCTCGTCTTCCGCGGGTACGCCGTTGTTTTCCTGCAACCCAAATTTCAAAGTGAGTATGTTTTTTTTTGGAAAAGTTGCATGGTTTTTTTCTCTATTGGTTTTTGTAAGTACATTTTTAGTATATTTTTACTTACGATGAAAGTTCATTTTGAACCTAATTTCGCTTTTTTGACTAGGATAATGAAGATATCGGGGATAAGTGCAAGATTTAGAAGGTCCAAAGGAGGCAGGAACAGGTAAGGTGCAAACGGGTTAAGAATAAATGAAGATCGATTGGCGAGGAAAATTCAAGATAACGTTTCTTTAGAAAAGAGAAGAAAGAGGTGCAAAAACGTTCTGGATTGAAGAAGTGTATGACCTGTTAATAACAAGAGATAACAAGAGCTTACAGCACAAAAACATCACATATGATTGAGGTCTGCCAAGTGAAAACACTGAGAAGAATCGTAGGTAAGCATGGACAGAATTAATAATGAAGATATTAGAGACAAGTGCAAGATTCAGAAGGTTCAAAGGAGGCAGGAACAGGTAAGGTGCAAACAGATTAAGGATAAATGAAGATCGATTGGTGAGGAAAATTCGCGATAACATTTCTTCGACCAAGAAAGAAATAGCAGGACGTTTTGGATTAAAGAGGTTTTGGACCTGTTAATAATAATAATAAGAAGAAATAACATGAGTTGAAACTAAAAAAAAATCAGAATTAAGAGTGAAGATATCAGGGATACGTGCAAGAGATTGCAAGATAAGGATGGACAGAATTAAGAATGAAGATATCAGGGATAATTGCGATATTCAGAAGGTCCAAAAGAGAAAACAGATCAAAATTAAATGAAGTTCGGTTGATGAGGAAGATTTACGATAACGTTTCTTTAGGAAAGAGAAGTCGTGGTCGACCAGGAAGGAAATAGAAGGACGTTCTGGAATAAATAGGCCTTAGACCTATTAATAATAAATAAGCAGAAGATAACGCAGAAACATCAGAATTACGAGTGAAGGTATCAGGGATATGTTCAAGGGACTGCAAGACATGGATAGACAGAATTAAGGATGAAGATATCAAGGATAATTGCAAGATTCGGAAGATCCCAAGGAGAAGGGCAAATAACGTGCAAACGTATTAAAAATAAATGAAGAACGGGATTGTCGGGTGTTAAAATATAAACGAAAACCACTCACGGCGAGTCGAATTTTCGACTGGTCCGCATTGTTTGCCTTCTTGTCGAATTTCTCGATGCGCTGGGGCTTCGGCAGGAATTCGTTCGATTTTTTCACGGTCACGTGGCCGCCCGAATTAGACGAACTGACGGAACCCGATCTACTGTGCGATCCTGAACCAATGGTGTTATTGATCGGTAATGGAAACGTCCGTCAACCGCTTACCCGAGTCTGTAGATCTGGACCTACGGTTCGCTTCGTTGCGTTCTCGCTTCTTGAACTCCTCCCGCACCAAGTAAATGTCCTCGTAGTCGTGTTCGTGCTCGTTGGACTTGACCGAGGACAAATCGGACGAGGACAGGTTTTCGTCCGAGCCCGCCCCCGAGGACGAAGAGTGCACTTCCACCTTAACTGAGACGAGGATATGGTCAAATTCGGATTGTTAGGGTAGCGGAGCCGCCGACTCACCGGTAAGTCCGGATAAGGACTGTCTCCTTCCGTTGGTGTCGAATAAGTCCTTCACGCGGTTATAGATGACCTGTTGGGGGTTGTGGAGGTAGAAAGACTCGCCGTTGATGCTGTCGTTGGAGCTCGTTTCCGAACAACTGGATGCGCTGCAAACTTGTCCGGTCAGAACTTGGCAGGAAGTAAGGGGTCGAAGTTATAGTAGGACCAACGATCTATCGAGGTCTTTAATAATATTCGTTGCCGATAGAAGCCAGCGCGATTTTTCACGTTGTGCCGGTGCGTTTTAACAGGAAGACATCGTTTCTGAACCAGATCGATCAAAACCGACTTACAATACAATACAATGCAACTTTTTTATCTTACATGGCAATCGTAGTTGGCAGTATTACTGGCATATTACTGCCTGGTGTTTAATGTTATGATGGGCCACATAAAAGCTGCCGATTTGTGACAGTTTGTGACATCTTTCAGAAAAAAAAATTTCAAATATCAAACCTCAAAAACATTGTAGTTTTAGAGTAACTGTAGAATATTTATTAGTTTCTTTTTGTGCAAATCCTGTTTTCTTACAATCTTATAAAAGCTATTATAAAAGTTACGGTTTCGTATAAATAAGAGTTATTACCTGTGTCGGTGTTTGTTCATCGGATTGATATAGAGTCCGTTTTCGGGGGCGTGAGCCGGTTCCAAGCTTCTGCTGTTATTGAGCGGTGGATGGAGATAAAATGGTTCCGTATCGTTTAACCCATCGATTTTCGGCTTGCATCGCGAGCAATCGCTGCCGACGCTACCTCCCTGATTAATTGCCAACTTACAGGTACATTTAGGATGCTCCTATACCTTATCTCTCAATAAGTACGATGCCGAGGAAAAAAGTCGAATACGAAAACGGTGTGACCCTAACTATCTACTTTATTTATGGTATTTTTATGTACAGCACAGTACCCAACATTATTTTTTCAAATAGGATGCCATGAAGATTTTTAAAAATTCTAATTTAAGTGGTTTTTGAGAAAAACTAACAACTGGTCTTGGGGACAATGTAATTTCTGTTATGGATCCATTAACGCTTTGACCCGTCTACGGCGAAAATATATTATACAGGGTGGTCACAAATAACCATCAACAATGTTTGCCAATTAAAAAACACTTTTTTTTTAAATGGAACGCCCTGTATTTAGCACTTTTATTTTCTCTAAAATTTAATTCTGTATGATTTCAACTTAAAAGACACTTTACTTTTTGAACACACCCCGTATATTTATTTTTTTTTTGTTTAAGATTAATTTTTACGTTCCCTGTAAATATTTCATATGATTTAGATTTAATGTTTCCTGAAATTGGGCCATAATGCCTGCCGGAAATAAAGTGCTATTATTGGTATTATTGGTAGTTTGGAGGTTATAGTCGATTTCCTCAAAGTTTGTTGTAAACGTTGATTACTTAAATTCAATTATAAAATCAATAAAAAATGCAACTAAGTTTTTGTAATGAAACCTATATGTATTTGTAATGATACAGAATTTCATCCTAAACCCAATAAAAGTACTAAATACACGGCGTCCCATAAAAAAATTGATTATTTTTAATTACATTAGATGTACATTTGTGACCACCATGTATAATCCATTTTCGCCATAGATACTACTCGCGTGAATCTATAACAACAATTCCCAATTTTAGACTTTCAGCATTTTTCCAAAGGCCTGCGGAGAAGTTCATGGGGATGGTATAGATTTACTTTTTGCGCATTTAATTATAAAAATCATGGTACCCTCTTGACGCGTTCTCCCTTCTTGCAGCAGGAACACCCGCTTTTTGCTGATTCTTTTTCCGAATCTTGGTAGTCCGGAGTGGTGCCATGTTGAACCAGCACGTTCAAGCACTGCAACACAGATAGGCAATGTGTAGGTGAAGCGAGGTCGCGATTGTAAAAAATACGTGGGTTCCCACCTCTACTTGTTGATTCTCAGCTGCGTCGTTTATCGGACTCTTGCCGTACTTGTCCAGCGAGAGCCTGGCGCCGTGCCTGAGTAGCCATCTGACGGTTTCCAGGTGCCCCCGCGAAGCTGCGAAATGCAGCGGCGTCGCGCCGTCACCGTCCCTCAGATTAGGATCGACCCCCTGGTCTTGAATCTGCAACGAATATTTCTCTTGAAATTCGAATCACTGTCAGTTTTTTTTTTTTTTTTAGTTTACCATCCACTTGACGCAGTTGAGACAGCCCATTTGACTGGCCGCGTGTATGGGCGCCATGCCATCTTTGGCGCGGACGTACAACGATCCGCCCGCTTCCGTCACCAAAAATTTGAGCACGTCCAGGTGACCTTCCTGTGCCGCTAAATAAACCGGGGTGACGTCGTTGTCCATCTGGGTGTTGGCGCTGCGAAAAATAAAACATTTGCAGGGAGCGATTTTTGAGTCCTTTTTAAAAAGAAAACTTCATAAAAACACATGTCTTATACGTCTTCATTTTCGAGATATTCTCAGAAAACGACCATCTGTCAGCGGCCATCTTGTTTAGTGAATGCCGCCATGTCTTATTACGTGAGTTCCTGTACCGGCAGGGACCTCTGTATTTCTAGTAGCTATACAGGGTGTCTTCTAATTGAATATCAATAATTAAGAAGGCGATTTTTGAGTCTACTTTAAAAAGAAAACTTCACATGAACGTATGTCCTAAATGTCTGAACTTTTGAGATACAACGTGATAAAGTTTTCAAAAATAAAATATATTTTTTTAATATTTATAATATCACAATTCAACAATTTTTTAAAAATACATCAGTACCGTCACCGATTTCTCTTAAAATAAAAATTGTTTTCGCCATCTGCAACGATTGCTAAAGAATTTTAATTTCTTGATTTTTTTTAATTCGATTTTTCGCTAAAGTAAGTAATTATCCATCTGCTAATGAGAACGCATAAGAAGAACTTCAACCCTGGGGGGTATTTTTGAAATCTTATAATGATTTCTTATCAATTGTAGTGGCTGTGTCTGTAAGAATTATTAATTCTGTTGTCAAAGCGGTTGTTTGACAGTTGTTTGACATCAGTTTTTAAATTCAGCCCTTCGAGCAGTATTATTATTAATTATTTATTATTTTAGGTATTCTTAATAGAGTCATACCAGATATGCGAACATTTTCAAATGCACATAAAAGGGGACCGAAACAGGTGCTTGGGGGGGGGGGGGTGGAGGCAAATAATCGCTTAACTGTAAGAACTTCATAAATTGAAGAAGCTGTTTCAAATTAACGGATAACAATGTAAGTTCTCAATTTCTCCCTGGCTCATCAGGTGTACCCCAAGGTTCCATCCTTGGACCTATATTACTCTTAATTTATATTTCTGACATTTATACATCCATCGAATATTTGAATATGCATTCATTTGCTGATGACACTCAGCTAGTTTACTCCTTCGATCCTAAATTATTTGATATTGCTTCAATTTATATCGATTTGGATTTGCATAACTTATTTCTATATTCTTCTAGGCATTATCTTCAACTTAATGTGAAAAAATGCAGTGTAATGTTCTTTTCTCGTAAACCTAATATAGAACGAGTATCCCAAAATGTATTTATTAATTATCGGTGAATTGTAACAAAAACCTTGGTTGATTGTAGACTTAGATTCGTGGAATATGTATCTTTGTTGGTGAAAAAGTCTTATTTGGTTTTGCGCCATTTACACAGGCATAGAACTGTCCTTGATTTCAGTTCACGGAAACTAACCAATGGTGCTGACAATAGGTCGAAGGGGTAATCCTGGTTTGTGAATCTTTTGGAATCCGTAGAGACGAGGAATTAGAATCGTGAAGTTTTTTTGAAAAATGCAGGAACTTAGCTGGCTAAAAATTGATTAGCACATCCAATCCGTCCTACTTACGAGCAAAATTACAGTCTCGTAATGTGAAATCAGTGGCTTTAAGGCACCCCTACGGACTCTCACTGCCACGATATCGTTTATTTTTGCTCCGCAGATCATTTTCTTGTAACGCTTCACATTCAATTAAATTCTTTAAAAAATATTTCAAGTTGAAACTGCTAACTTCTCAAACAATTTGATTTTCAATGTCATTCTTTTTATTCTTACTTTTAATGACTTTCTATTGTTCCATACTACTATTACACTTATATATTGACTTGAAACAACGCTAATTTTACAAGACAATCAGTGTTTTCTTTATTCGAGATATATCGAAGGCTGACGCTCGGTTACGCCGCCTGCTAGACAGCGAACACATGCAAATTATCATTCCCTTTCACCGATATAATTTACAGCTTTTACTCGTTAATCGCGATTTGAAATAAGACCAAAACGCAAAACCCGCGTAACTAAACCTCAAATCGATATGCAACGTTGTCGGATCGTCATTAAACAAATTATTGGGGCATTTTCGCGGAATTCCGATTGCGCCGCGCGCAAGTAGATTAAGAAAAATGCACTGCAGGGCTACTGGAAAACTGCGACCGTTATTCAGTGGCGGCTCGCGAGAAGAAAGCTTAAAACTTAAAAACTTAACAAGACTTAAAAAGTATCCCCTCGAGATATTTTTGCTATAAGAGAAACATTAGCGCCCTGATAAATAATTAATATTGGAAAATTTCCCGCTAAAAACGTCATATGGATATGTCAGCCGTTGTGACGTCACGAGGTTTTCGCGTTGACGGCTGCCAGTCTAACATTTGAGTTTTCACGAAAAACAATGAAAAGTATTTCATTAAAAAGCCACGCTTACCATTTTAATGTAAGTATTTAATTTATTATTCATTTAAAAATATAAGTTACTATTTCCTAATTCATTAAAAGAAAAATAAATAGTAGCCTAACCTCACTTTCGTTTGTTATTGTGCTTATATGTATATTCTTCTTACGGTTGGAGTTCATAAATGAATGAAAAAAAAATAAATAAAGATTTTTGTCGAAAGTATGATGATATGACTTTTGTTTTTGAAGGTTAAAATTTGGTTAGTTTGGCAATATAGACCCTATGACGTCATTTTCTATTACGACCTACTGCATAGTTTCAGGAAACAAGTATTTTCTCGAAAACCATTTACTCTGTTGGAAAAATTCATATACCTGGAACAGTGAGAGATCTAGGGCTATAACCTCTATTTCGAACATTTTTTTATTATATACAGGGTGCGTCGTTAACTTACAAAAAATCTAAAAGATCCTAACAAAAACTGTTTTCGTGAATAAATTATTGGCGATAAATGAAAAACCATTACGTATGGGATAATTTTGTTTGAACATTTATCGTAAACCGGGTCCAGAGAGATTTTCAGTTTTCGTCTACCATACAGGGTGCGCGAGATATTTAAAAAAATATCGTTTAAAATCGCAATTACCAGTGAAGTTTGGAGAGACGTAAAAAACACTTTATACAGGGTGCGCAGTTAATTTATCTGAGATTTAAGTTTTTATTTCACTGCGGATTGTTTGTATAAAGGAACTTTTCGAACGTTCAATATATCATATCGCTAGAAAAAACTGGACCAATAGGCGAACCTTCATTTGGTACTGTGTAGGGGCGACAACCCATAACTCAAATTCGTAAAATGCGTCTGATAAGATAATTATTAAATAATTTAAAACCCTATCGTGTTAACAATCGGACCTATTTTGCATTAAAACCCTCTTCTGTAAAATTAAGTGCCTGGCGCATCCGCCTTTATCATCGACGATACGCACTTCTAATTGAACGGGGTCACAATAGAGGGCGCGCCACGCGCCTTTAATACGTCAAACTTTCCACCGTTTAATACGGTTATTAATATACCGGTCTGGCTTATTAAAAAAATTAACGGCGCGTAGAAAACCAACAACTACGTTAGCGGAGGAGCAATTTCAAATGTAATTAACGCGTGTGCTTATTCTACTTTCCGATTTTGTGAACGGGCGCACGTAATTTCACTAAAATCAAATAAAAATCGTCGGTACGAGGAACAATTCGCCAGCTGTTCCGGACGGATCGTGTGGTGTGGTTTTCAGTCTAAATTTATGTTTATAGACTTTCTCTTTCGGTATATTCGCCTGACGCGGTTCGAGTTTATAAATATTACGGGATATAATAGTAACAACAAAGCTTATTTGTTAATGATAAACGCCACTTTAGTCAATGACTAAAGAAGTTTTGCATACTGAAGCGACCATCCGAACTGACAAACGTCAACGCAAGACTCGCGGACGTACGGAATTTCATCTGCTTATTCTCTTAAAATTAAATATATTCTTTTCGTTTTCCGTTAATACTGTATATGATACAATCATTGTTCGAAGTAGAGGTTATAGCCCTGGATCTTCCACGTTACCGGGTCAAAGAATTTTTTGAATATAGTAAATGGTTTTCGAGAAAATAAGTTTTCTCTGAAACCATGCAGTGCGCCGTATTAATCAATGACGTCATCGCGTCTTGACAGCCCCCGAAATAACAATTTCAGTATGTGATAGACGAAAACCGCAAATACAAAAACTGTAGCTCTCGAGGAGGCCTATGACATTGTTTGAACCTATTAGCCGTATTTTTTACGATTTTTGATTTGCGGCTGATAATTTACTCTGTAAAAGAACAATTTTCTAAAATCCTGCATGTAATCGGAAAAATGCCTAAAATAGAGGTTATTGCACTGGATCTTCCATGTCTGATGGCTAAAGAATTTTGCAGATCGGGTTAACGATTATGGAGGAAAATGTATTTTTCTGGAAGCTAAAATTATCAATTTTTTTTTTTTAAATACTTGGAAAAATATGATTGCACTCAATTTCTACCATTTAGATGTGGACACGGACTTTTACTTCTTTGATAAATTTGAAGTTGATATCTGCAAATTTAGAACACTTAACACATTTCTCATTCAGGACGGAATATCGGGGACACCCTGTACAATAGGTGAAAACCTTAAATACAAAAGTTTTTGCTGTCTATGCGGGCTATATGGCAATATAAAAGAAAGTGAGATCTAAACCATAGTCTTTCAGTTATAAACAGTTTTTAATAATAGGGGGACCCATTTTTCAGTTTTTTTGAATTTGCGGCGCACCCTGTATATTTTTGAAAAATTGTCAAGATTAAAAGTTTATGGAGCCGTATCTTCTGCGTCTCCTCGTTCAAGAATTTTTTTGGTCTCGTAAACAGTTTTTGAAAATTTATGTTTTTTGTAGACCCTTGCACGCGAGATTTTTTATTTTTTTAGAATACTTCCCTACGCCCCAGCCCCCCCATTTTCAATAATTTCCGTCACGGTGCAAAGCTGCATATATGTGCCGAATATGAAGTCGATTGCTTCAAATTTCAGACATTTATCGTGTTTCGTAGCAAGGTCCAAAAAGCAGTCGAAGATCGCGAAAAAAAGATGGAAACCGGCGTCGG